GTTGTAGTGTCGCCAGTCACGATACTTCATGACTGGCAGTGAGATGTGTCACCCGTGCAAAGACATAAACGATGGGTACATTTTCAATTTGCACTTTTAGAATCTTTTAGGAAATAAGATGAAAGAAGAATAGTAAATATAGAATTAGGTGCTTGCTTCACACAATCTTTAGACCCAGGCGTTTGTTTAGCCTGTCACCGGGGCGTTACAAGCGTTTGGATGTAAACATTTAAACCCCGCGTTTCAACTGATAAGCTTGTTCTATTTTTTCAGTATATTGCAAACAAAGTTTGTAAGTTGCATCCCTTGAACTGATAATAATTAATTACAACTGAGATTGAAAACTAAACTAGTGTCCAAAAGAAACGATACCAACTTATTTTCAAAATTGTTTTTTACTAAGTGAATTGTCAAGTATGAAAACATGCCAATTCGTATTGCACATCCCAAACACAGCATAGTCGATAAAAAATACCGGGAACACGTGATCACTTCCGGGAAAAAACGTAAATTTCGTGAAAGTGACATTTCCCTCTCTAGCATGTTCTGCACGTGCAGAAAAAACTGTATAAAACGGCTGATCAGACACGTTGATATCACAGCAACAAAAAGAACACAAGATATGCCACGTTTGACAGCCATCGAGAGAGAGAGAGCCGTTGGAATGGTCCAACAAGGAGCGTCACACGTCGACGTCGCCAGAAGGTTGGGCTGCGCACGCATCACTATCACCAGGTTGATGCAGCGGTTACGTCAGGCAGGTCAGACGTCAGACAGGCCCAGGAGTGGAAGACCACGAGTAACCACGCCCCGTGAAGATCGTTACATCCGGGTATTACACCTGAGGAACCGCACCGTAACAGCGACGTCCACGGCGGCTACAGCACTGGGACACAGGATCAGTCGACAGACCGTCTACAGGAGACTACGGCAGTATGGTATCCGGCCACGTCATCCCTACCGCGGACCGCTCCTGACGCCTCGACGCCGGAACAACAGACTGATCTGGGCCAGGCGAGTTCGACGTTGGCAACGGCGGGAGTGAGCACGTGTTATGTTCTCTGATGAGAGCAGATTCCTCATCTTCAGAAACGATGGACGGCAGCTTGTATACCGACGATTTGGTGAACGTTTGGCGCCTAACTGTATCCAACAGATCCGGCCGTTTGGAGGTGGAGGGTTAATGGTTTGGGGTGGCATATGTGGTGACGTCAAAACGATGCTTGTCGTTATTCGTGGAAACCTGAATGCACAGCGTTATCTTGATGACATCCTACGGCCTGTTGTGGTGCCCTTTATTCAGCAACAGCCTCGTGGACTCCTTTTCCAACATGACAATGCAGGCCACACACAGCAAGATTGACACAGAACTTCCTTGCCAACGCCAACGTACAGGTTTTGCCATGGCCCGCATGTTCACCGGACATGAATCCCGTCGAGCACTTATGGGACCACCTCGATCGGCAAATCCGACGTCGCCGTGTGCCTCCAGTCAACGTCCAGGACTTGGAACGATGTCTCCTCGAGGAATGGCAACGCATCACTCCCAACGTCATCAGACGTTTGACGTCATCAGTCAACGTTGGCAACAGACGAATGCAGTCAGAGACCATCCTCGTAGTGGCCGGCCACCCGTAACCAATAATCGACAAGACAACTGGATTCGAACAAGCCACCAACGAAATCGATTCTAGCCAGCAACAGTGACTGCAAGAAGCGTGCCTAGCCTCCGACGAATATCTTCACAAACCATACGTCGTCGCCTCAGATGTGCAGGGATTGTCGCCAGAAGACCCGCCAGACGTCCCATTTTGACAGGAAACCACCGCCAAGCACGTCTGCGGTGGTGCAGACAGCGTCTACACTGGACGGTCATGCAGTGGGGACAAGTTCTATTCACTGACGAGTCTCGTTTTCACCTCAGCCACAGCGATGGACGGATTCGAGTGTACAGACGTCGAAGTGAACGTTACGTCAATCATTGTGTCATGGAAGAAGATCGGTTCGGGGGCGGCATGGCATTTAAAGGATTTACATGACTTTGGTTTGAGAAGTCGTTTACCTCGCAGGGTGTCCCGCAGGGCATTATTTTGTCTGTTACTTTATTTAGTACAACAATGAATAGTCTTTCAAAGGTTTTAAGTAATTCAGTAGATGGATCACTTTTCATGGGTGATGTCAATGTTTCTTGTCGTGGAAACAATATGCATACAATAGAGAGGCAGTTACAAATCTGTCTCCATAAAATATATAAATGGTCACTCGAAAACTGGTTCAAATTTTCTAAATAAAAAACTAACTGTCTACATTTCTGCAGAAAATATATGCCACATGGCACCCCTATCAATGTTGTAAAAGAGGCCAAGTTCTTGGGTCTTATTTTCGTTAACCATTTATCATTCCTTCCACATATTAAATACCTTAAAGCTATATGTCTGAAGACACTCGATTTATTGAAAGAAGTTTTTAATTCTAAGTGGCATGGGGTGGGGATCAAACAACCCTCTTACACTTGTACCAGTCATGATCCGATTACGGCTCCATCGTCTATGGTGGAGCCTGCAAAAGCAATCTAAAAAGAACTAAATTTAGATACTATCCATCATCTGAGCCTGAGGCTTTGCCTTGAAGCCTTTAAGTTGGGTTTAACGCCGCTTTTAACAGTATTCCAGTTATAACACGGCGTGTCAGCTTAATGAAGGAGGAAAGCCCGAAGTGATGCAGGTCTCAGACGTTTACCACTTCAGCGAAACCTACGAACACGGGTATGGTGCTGACAAACCTAAAAACATAATCGGGGCGAACCGGGATTCGAACCCACAATCATAGGTTCTGGCACGCCTAAAGGACGCAACTCTGCACAGCGAATCGCGGCGCCTTAGACGACTGGGCCACCCGTGCCCCCTGAAGCCTTTAGAACTTCTCTCATCAACAGTCGAAGCGAATGAACCTTCTCTTAAACAACGCTGTATGAAATTATATTTACAATACATCACTAAATCATATTCTTATCAGTCAAATCAAGCTTTTAATTGCGTCTTTAATCCTCTTTACGAAGATATTTACCATAAGAAAACATCTCTTATTCCACCACTCGGAATCAGAATCCAGTCTGCCATATCTGCTTCTTAACTCAAACTGCAAGATATAGCTCCCTCTCAACTGTTTTCATCGCCAGAGGTAGAACCTACATTAACCAAATTAAAGAAATCAGATACTAATCAACTAATTTACCAACAAGAATACAATCAATTAAGAAACACTAAGGACACTTATTAATTTATATTTACAGATGGTTCCAAGGATGGTGGCGCAGTTGCTAGTGCCACTGTCATTGGATCCAGACCAATATCTTCACAATTACCCGATAATAAATTTATGTGTTCTAATTTTATTTATATTATATTAACTTTCTTTGAACAGTTCCTATAAGTTATCAAGAGATTATTGATAGGAAAGCTACTTAAAGTACTCCTTTGGGGGATTGCCTAAAAGTCGGGCCGGGCCGGGCCAAGACGGGCCAAAGTGTTATTGGCTAATTGCTCCATTATCGGCGACCATACCTACATATTATTGACGCAACATACACACATGACATTAATGAACAATCACAAACCAAAAATGTGCACCATAATTAAGTGATTCAGAGTAAATCGCTTGAAACCCAGAAAGTGGAGCTGTGTGTGAGCGTCGCTGATCTAGGTAACATGTAAAAGAGCAATCGTTAAGCGAAATAGGATGCGAAACGTATCAAATACTTCTAGCTGTCGTCATACAAATTTCAATCTGTCGGCATAGCGTTTACATTTATAGGATAGTAATATATCTAAGTAAATACCACTTTATAATGTCACTGTTCATCGTGTTTAAAGCAGACACGTTGGTTCTCTTCAGTAGACCTCTTCTCCTCATACTCTCAACAGTCTCACAAGTGTTCGGTCCGACTTGACCCGGGCTGTCAAAATCAATTTTAAACACAAAGATGTATCATCAAATGTTTTTAAATCCATAGATTAGTATTATATCTACCTGTATACCACATATTGTGTCTAAGATCGCACTATTTAAAGAAAACAAGGTGTTAAAAGTGAATCCCGTTTCCCTCGACATTCTCAATATAGTCTCTGTCAAAAGTGTTTGACTTGTGTTTGACAGCCCGGGCCACGTCGGACCGAATACTTCTGACAGAGATACAGTAAAATACAGTAAAAGTGTTTGACTTATGTTTGACAGCCCGGGCCACGTCGGACCGAATACTTCTGACAGAGATACAGTAAAATACAGTAAAAGTGTTTGACTTATGTTTGACAGCCCGGGCCACGTCGGACCGAATACTTCTGACAGAGATACAGTAAAATACAGTAAAAGTGTTTGACTTATGTTTGACAGCCCGGGCCACGTCGGACCGAATACTTCTAACAGAGATACAGTAAAATACAGTAAAAGTGTTTGACTTATGTTTGACAGCCCGGGACACGTCGGACCGAATACTTCTGACAGAGATACAGTAAAATACAGTAAAAGTGTTTGACTTTAACGGACCCGTTTTCTGTAAATGCGATACACTGTGACATTTTAAAGTAGTATATGGGTCGATATAACACTAATCTATAGATGTAAACACATTTGAAGATAGGTATGTGTGTTCAAAGTAGATTTTGACAGCCCGGGCCAAGTCGGACCCAACCCAAGAGTTGTCAAAACAGTTCAAAAGGGTTTCCTGCCATGGACATCACACCCCTACAGGCTAAGGTCGGTAAGAAACCTACTCATCAAAGAAAAGACACTGACTTTTCTACGAGGACTCTCGGCATGTAGTCATAATTATCAGTTTATTACATTTCTGAAGATGCATTTTGATTCAAACTCAATAAAAACTATACGTTTCTGGACAATTGAGATCTTCCTAGATATGCACGTTTCGTTTTATTATTCTGCAATCCATTTTTAGTATTACCCGCTGGCCCGGCCCGGCCCGACTTTTAGGCAATCTCCTCCTTGGGTCAAGGTCGAGGACAAGGCGAAGATAATGCTGAGGGGTGTAAAGATCAGCTGATCTCGTACCACTGTTGTAGGTGTCAGTGATGGAGATGGATGTCGGTTTTCTTCTCGCCTTTGTGGTTCTACTTTGCTTGGGAGGTTGGTGTGTTGCAGTTTTATTTTATTGCAGTATAGTTCAGCTAATGTGTATGTCACACCACACAACATAATTGTTTAAGTTAACTACTGAAAGTTCAGTTCAAGCCATGCTTAATCAAAACGTGTTCAGTGATCCATTCTGCTTCGGCAGATAATGGAGACCGGATATATTCTGGCGTGGACGTTTTATGTCTTATTACCGTTCTGATTTCGTCATTCGTCTGCACATAAGTCATCTATAGGGTATGAACAGGTACACTGTGAGTCTTAATTATTATGCAATTTTACCTCTCGAGCCAGCTGATGAATGAAACTTTTGATTAAACATTGGTGAGAACGTTATGATAAAGACAATAATTTACGAGTGACGAGGAATGACAGAAATCTGTCCAAAGTGAATTTAGATTTAAATCAACATAGATTTCCATTGGGATAGATAATCCGTCATTCTTTGTCACGAGTAGCTTACTTACTTACTTACTTACTTACTTACTTACTTAATTATTTACTTACTGGTGCAACCCAGGATGGTTTAAGGGTTGCTTATATAGCAGGGCGTGGAGTCATCCAACAGATGACATCCTTACCTTGTCAGCTTGCTGACGGGGTTAACCTCTTTGGTCATGTGGACAAGGCGTCCGGCCTCTGATCAGAAGGTCCGAGGTTCGAATCCCATCACGGGACTCGGAAATTTTATGACCGCTACACTTATATAGTAATTTTGAGATTTTGAGATTTGGAACGAAAGCCAAGAGTTGGTAGCTTATTATGGTGGACATGAAGTGAATGTATCCCTCATTGAAGTGATGATAGGTGTTAGTGGAAAAAGTAAGCGTGTCCTGTCCTAGCGGTAGAACTCGTCAAGCATGTGTTTTATGCCTTACGCCGCACAGAAGTACTCTGTCATACGACGCTGGCCTTTAAACAATCGAGTCTTGACCAGACAATCAAGTGAAGGACCAACATTCACAAATTCACAATGAACAGGACTTGGTCGAGTTTAAGTGCATATAATGTTTCTTTCTTGTGTAAAATGCTACATTATGAACATCCCATGCAAACATAATTAATATAATGATTGTCCATACATAACTGTGATTCTTCAGCTAGCACACAAGGTGATGCTGATAGCTTTACCGTCACCGTCAACACCAACGGTAGTTACAGCATCGCCGTCCAGGGAAATATCTGGCTCAAAAGTGCTCCGACTTTCGTCAGAGTCAACGAGCAGATTTACAGCACCGCAGATGGCTCCTTGAAGCTTCTACAGACCACTGGAACATCTGGTACCGACTTCATCGGGAAATGGCAGTCCACTAACTTCCTCTACCAAGCCGACACGTGTCGCTTCTTAGCCAGCATTTACGTCTACACGCCAGACCCAAGTATCTTCTCATATAACAATCCTCCTGAACAATTTCTGCTCTTTAAACAGGTTTGACTTTCTTGTTGCCGTTTGTTATTGACTGAAGATGCATGTGGCTTTTAGTTGTCTACATTCATGGTTTCCAAATTAATTTCTTGAAAGAAAAAACGTTAAGAGTATTTTTTTTGTTTGAGCTCCCTTCTTGTTCAATCTCCTGCTGGGTATCATGCAGGAAGCGGGGGTACTGTAAGTCCCCGTGATCCCCAGCGAGGTGTACACGCACTGGTTACTAGTGGCGCCTAGCCCGTCTTTGAAAACTCTATACATGATATTGTTATACTCAAATATCCTCCATGACTTGTTTTTAAATATAACTTTACATAAATGACTCAAACATGTTAACTTGGTCTTGTTGCTATATGGCTGAAATAATGCCTATGCGACGTTAAATTTCACGTCACTCACTCTTGTGCAATCCTTATGACTTTACTACAGTTAATAAGGCCTTTTCATACACGTTCTCTTAAAGAAACTGCTTAAATGACAAGCGTATACCCTAGAGTGCCAGCTGCAGGTTGTGCCGTTTAAGCTTCCCGCTTTCCTCTACTTAAGGGGGGCACGGGTGGCCCAGTCGTCTAAGGCGCCGCGATTCGCTGTGCAGAGTTGCGTCGCTTGGGCACGCCAGAAACCTGTGATTGTGGGTTCGAATCCCGGTTCGCCCCGATTATGTTTCTAGGTTTGTCAGCACCATACCCGTGCTCGTGGGTTTCACCGAAGTGGTAAACGTCTGAGACCTGCATCACTCCGGGCTTTCCTCCCACATTAAGCTGGCACGCCGTGATATAACTGGAATAATGTTAAAAGCGGCGTAAAACCCAACTCACTCACTCACTCACTCACTCCTCTACTTAAGTGAGTGAGATGCGTTTTACGCCGCATTATGTTCCAGCAATATCACGGCGGGAACAACAGAAATGGGCTCCACACATTGTATCAATGTGGGAAATCGAACCCGGGCTTTCGATGTAGCGAGCCAACGCTATAACCACTAGAATATCACACCGCCCATGCTTACTAAATAATTCATGAACATATCGTGAATATGGAGATAGAAATACACATTTATAAACTCGCATATTTATAAAGATGCATTCACAGAATCTGTGTCATTTAAATATTGTGTAATGTGTAAATCTTTGCTTTTCCCGATAGACCTACTTAACCCAAACGAACGCCACAATGGCACCAACAGTTGATGAAACAATAGCTGGCTTCCCCGGGTTTGTTGTGGAGGAGGCGTCTGTCCCGCTTGGCTACTTGTCCTACGGAGGGGACATGTACGGCGACACCGGCAAAGCTTTCGGACAGTACGTTTGTTTGTCTCGTGAAGGGGAATGAACGATAAGAGTTGGCTTTTTAGCCGTTTCCTTAGTTATATCACGGTATGAAGAGTAGCACAGGTTGATATGTTTATTTCAGCGGATCCTGATACATCTAAGGGACACAACCCTAAATTTACTAAAACGTTTAAGACTTTTTTGACGACTACATTTATATGTGTTGTTTATGTATAAGTTTAATTCATTATAAAAGAACGCATTTTTTATGTGCCTGTGATACATATCATGGTTATTGAAGAATCGGCTTTTTTAAGATTTGGTCCAAAAATGAAGATTACGTCCGGCATCCGAAGTGGTCCCCTGTCTATTTTTGACCGCGTCAAGACAGCCAACACCCTCATCCTGTCTCCTGCCAGTACCTTCATGTCTGCCAATCTCTGGCAACAGACTACCAGCACCGGAAGCAACCTCTACTGGGGCATCATGGGCGGCGTCTCTGACATGGTTCCTGAGTTTGAAACCAGTACTATTCTCTTCTACAGCAACCAAGGTATAAACAAGGTGAGCTATGTATAATTCGTGTTTCAAAAAACTATGGATTTTCTTGATTATTTACATCAAGAGGAAATAGCTGAATGTATTTAAAATCGCAATCGTAACAGAGAATACAAACATGACTTCCCATGGGGATTCCGGATTAAAGGTTCTCTCTTGGATAAGAGTTTACTTTTACAGTTCATGCTGTAAACTGGGGCTAAATGGATCGTGTGGTCAAACTCAGTGGTTTGGTTGAAGTAGTTGAGCTTAGTGATTTGGCTGAGGTGGTCGGGCTCAGTGATTTGGTTGAGGCGGTCAAGCTCAGTGGTTTGGTCGGGGTTGTCAGGCTCAGTGATTTGGTTAAGGTGGTCAAACTCAGTGGTTTGGTTGAAGTGGGCGAGTTCAGTGGTTTGGTTGAAGTGGTCGAGCTCAGAGATTTGATTAAGGTGGTCGAGCTCAGTGGTTTGGTTGAAGTGAGAGAGTTAAGTGGTTTGGTTGAGGTGGTCGAGCTTAGTGATTTGGTTGAAGTGGTCGAGTTCAGTGGTTTGATTGAAGTGGGCGAGTTCAGTGGTTTGGTTGAGGTGGTCGAGCTTAGTGATTTGGTTGAAGTGGGCGAGCTCAGTGATTTGGTTGAAGTGGTCGAGCTCAGTGATTTGGTTGAAGTGGGCGAGTTCAGTGGTTTGATTGAAGTGGTCGAGCTCAATGATTTGGTTGAAGTGGTCGAGTTCAGTGGTTTGGTTGAAGTGGGCGAGTTCAGTGATTTGGTTGAAGTGGGCGAGTTCAGTGATTTGGTTGAGGTTGTCAAGCTCAGTGATTTGGTTGAAGTGGTCAGACTCAATGATTTGGTTGCAGTGGTCGGGCTCAGAGATTTGATTAAGGTGGTCGAGCTCAGTGGTTTGGTTGAAGTTGTCAACCTCAGTGGTTTGGTTGACTGCTTGTCATGGCATCCGAAATGTGTGGGACATTGCCCACAGTACACACACAAGTACTGTGGTGTCTGTTCCATACTAGACTATTTACAGGCCGCCATCATATATACTACTCAACTTTTGAAATGTATTTAAATATACACTCGACATATCGTAAGAAAAAGTTGTGTGTATAATGGACAGATGAAAAATATCCCCATAAAAAGGGAGTAGTATAGTTGGAGTATTGCTGAGTGTGGTGTTAAACGACAAATACACTCAAGAATAATACTAGATCACCAATCCGTCGGGTACAGTTTGGGTGAAGGTTACAGTGATAGATAGGTTATCACGATATGTTATCATGAGTGATATGTCTGGAGATAAAAGTGAACTTTAACGGTGAACCTACATGTACATTGTGTGGACACATGCGTCATTCATGTAGCGTGCATGTCCGATAGAGAGCAAACAACAAAGAAATAAACCTGAATGTAGCAATGCTATATAATAAGACAACACAATTTGGTTAGGTATTTAAAAGTACAAATAATCGTCTAATCTACGGCATCAAAGTTGATGATATCGAAATGTTTAGTTACATTTTCTCGATAGCGCCTACTGGCGTTTGCTCGAACAGGGTTTCGGGAATTGATAATTATATTAATATATGATATCCCCTGTCTTAGAATATCTATTCTGTTTCATTCTGTTATTTTATTTGAAGATGATATAAATTTAATATACGAGTTGTTTATGTTTTGTGTGGGACAGTTTTTATAATGTGCATATGTTAATCTCAGGGATTCGTCAGCTGGGGACAGATTCTGCAGAAAATGTACGGAAGAGACAACAGTTTGGTCAAGTCAGATTTCACAAACAACTATCTCGGGTACTGGACAGACAACGGTAGGAACGTGCACTCCTTCTATGCTATACACATTGGTTGATAGTCATGCATCACCCGAATATATATTGAACCGCAAAAGAAACGTCACCCCAAGTAACATTGCATGAAAAGTTGTCATTTAAATATCTGGGTAAGTTTTGTCAAAGTTTCTAAAATTTAATATTACCTTGTCCGGAAAAATGATGATAAAAAACAAGGCAGATGACAATATAACCGATCGCCCAAACGCATCACGGCAAAGGCCATGGTAACCCAATGCACGTGAGTTCCGTGCAAATTGAAATGCACATGCGTTCCCCCATTTCTTGCCCTATAAAACTCCCAGATCGGATAACATTCATTCGTTATTGAATTGCTACCGCATGCCAAGTTTGACAAAAAAATCAGCGACACCAAGCCCTTGGACGATTGCAAGCTGGACAAACCGCCCGGTAAGTAGCCAGTGCATTTCACGTCCACGCAAGGACCATATACAGGCACCAGCAACGGTACCAGACCACCAACACTACAGATGACCGACCACGTAGTGGAAGACCAAGGGTCACCATCCGACGTCAGGATCCTCAGATTGTGCAACAGCATCTTCAAGATCGCTTTGTTACTGCTGCGGAATCTGCTTGACAGACCATGGGACACACCAACGACACATTAGTGCGGACACCGTGCGTCGACGATTGACGAGCTGACAGCTCCACTGTCACAGGCCACACCGAGGACCCATTCTGACACCAAGTCATCGCTGGGACCTTCTTCAGTGGGCAACACGGCACCAGCATTGGCGCCACCAGCAGTGGTGAAGAGTCCTCTTCTCAGACGAGAGCTGTTACTGTATCTCAACAGCAGATGACAGAGAGGGAGTCTGGCGACGCCGTGGGGAACTTCATTCGGGTACTTGTGGTGCTGCGAGAGACTCGTAGGGTGGTCCGAGCATCATGGTGTGGGGTGGAATTGGTCTTGCACAGAGGGTCGGCCCTGTGGTCATCAGGAACATCGGTCCAGGGAGAGGCAATGGTGTCACAGCAGCTCGGTACATTGATCAATTCTTGAGACCACACGCCATACCTCATTTGGCACGTCGCCGCAACCACGAGTGTCAGCATGATAACGCCCATGTCCACACTACGAGAGCAACTGCGAGAGCAACACGAGACTTCCAACAGAATGGCATCAGAACCGTGTTGAGACCTTCCCTCAGTCCCGGTTTAAATCCCATTGAGCACCTGTGGGACGAGGTTCAAAGACGGGTGAATGACGTCCGACCAAGGCCGACAACAGCAGCTGAACTGCATCAGGCGTTCCTCATAGTGTGGGCTCAAGTGCCTATGGCCTTCATCAATCGCCTCATCTATTCCATGTATTGACGTTGCACAGCAGTCACAATGCACATGGCGGACACACGAGATACTGACTTTTGATGCCATTTTCTCAGAGACTAGTGTTTTGTTTCACTTTAAGAACTTTTGACACTTTAATTTCAACCTTGATGATAAGTTTTCCCAAGCTTCATCTTTTTGATATGTCTGAAAGTATGTTTACAGTGTTTGGACAAATAAGGTTTCTCACATATCTATCCATGGTGACGTTTCTTTTGCGGTTCAGTATATTATATAGGTTGCATTACACTGTTGCATTGGACCAAATCATACAGACTATTCTATTGACATGATCCTGCATTTGCAGGTGCATATTACTACTACAAAACTGAACCTGAGAAGAATTATCAGGACACTATACTGGACATCGCTAGTCTCATCAACGATACAGGTATACCCTTCAGGTAGGTGTTCACCTGTAGCTCCATCAAGTACAGGTTTTCCCTCTTAGGTAGGTGTTCACCTGTAGCTCCATCAAGTACAGGCATACCCTTCAGGTAGGTGTTCACTTGTAGCTCCATCAAGTACAGGTATACCCTTCAGGTAGATGTTCACATGTAGCGCCATCAAGTACAGGTATACCCATCAGGTAGATGTTCACCTGTAGCTCCATCAAGTACAGGTATACCCTTCAGGTAGGTGTTCAAATGTACCTCCATCAAGTACAGGTATACCCTTCAGGTAGGTGTTCACATGTAGCGCCATCAAGTACAGGTATACCCTTCAGGTAGATGTTCACATGTAGCTCCATCAAGTACAGGTATACCCTTCAGGTAGGTGTTCAAATGTACCTCCATCAAGTACAGGTATACCCTTCAGGTAGGTGTTCACATGTAGCGCCATCAAGTACAGGTATACCCTTCAGGTAGATGTTCACCTGTAGCTCCATCAAGTACAGGTATACCCTTCAGGTAGGTGTTCACCTGTACCTCCATCAAGTACAGGTATACCCTTCAGGTAGGTGTTCACCTGTAGCTCAGTCAAGTACAGGTTTTCCATTAAGGTATGTATATATAAACGATGATATAATTCCATACCTTTTTACTTTCATATTTGATACATGACTGGTGTCTAAGAGCTGGTTGTCACTCACTCACTCACTCACTCACTCACTCACTCACTCACTCACTCACTCACTCATTCTCCTGCTTTAGGTACCTGCAGTTCGACTCCTGGTGGTACTACAAAGGTGCAGGGAACGGCGTGAAGACATGGGAGAGCACCCCTGAAGTTTTCCCAAACGGCATGCAGTAAGTGATGGGTTTTGCATTTCTGAACCACAATTAAAGTGTTTCTGAACGTTATTGTCACACACAACATGCGCGTTTCATTTCACTTCAAAACATTTGCTATCTTTTTGTACAGTAAATGGTTCCCAGTAAAGCCGCGATAGTTCCGGAAGCCAGTTTTTTTAACGAATGGCGGTTCACTGTGTTTGATTCTCACACTTGTGCATTCTAGGTGGCTGTACAATAAAACTGGACTCCCAATTTCAGCCCATAACAGATACTGGTAAGTACTTCACATACAGTCAACAAGACTTGTTAATGAACAATTCAGGATTGAGACGAAATAATCTTTGCGTTCAAGGATTCATATTGAACATAGCTGTTGTGCGGTGTGCTGTTGCGCTGTTGTGTGTTGTGTGTTGTGTTGTTGCGCTGTTGTGTTTTGTTCTGTTTTGTGTGTTTTAACATCACGTCTGTGTAATTGCAGGTCAAGCGACACAACATATGCAAAACAGAATGGTGGCAAATATCTTTTCCTCGTTGAAAATGACAAAGCCCTTCCTATTGACCAGGTAATTCAGATACGAATTGTTCAGATTCAGCTTACTCGTCACCTAGTGTAAGTATATAGATATGTTGCTGTGTTTGTAACCATGGACCGTTCTAGTGTGTACCATGGACCGTTCTAGTGTGTACCATGGACCGTTCTAGTTTATACCATGGACCGTTCTAGTGTGTACCATGGACCGTTCTAGTGTGTACCATGGACCGTTCTAGTGCATACCATGGACCGTTCTAGTGTGTACCATGGACCGTTCTAGTGTGTACCATGGACCGTTCTAGTGTATACCATGGACCGTTCTAGTGTGTACCATGGACCGTTCTAGTGTATACCATGGACCGTTCTAGTGTGTACCATGGACCGTTCTAGTGTATACCATGGGCCGTTCTAGTGTGTACCATGGACCGTTCTAGTGTATACCATGGGCCGTTCTAGTGTATACCATGGACCGTTCTAGTGTGTACCATGGACCGTTCTAGTGTATACCATGGACCGTTCTAGTGTATACCATGGACCGTTCTAGTGTATACCATGGGCCGTTCTAGTGTGTACCATGGACCGTTCTAGTGTATACCATGGGCCGTTCTAGTGAATACCATGGACCGTTCTAGTGTGTACCATGGACCGTTCTAGTGTATACCATGGGCCGTTCTAGTGTGTACCATGGACCGTTCTAGTGTGTACCATGGACCGTTCTAGTGAATACCATGGGCCGTTCTAGTGTATACCATGGGCCGTTCTAGTGTATACCATGGACCGTTCTAGTGTGTACCATGGACCGTTCTAGTGTGTACCATGGACTGTTCTAGTGTATACCATGGACCGTTCTAGTGTATACCATGGACCGTTCTAGTGTGTACCATGGACCGTTCTAGTGTATACCATGGACCGTTCTAGTGTGTACCATGGACCGTTCTAGTGAATACCATGGACCGTTCTAGTGTATACCATGGACCGTTCTAGTGTGTACCATGGACCGTTCTAGTGAATACCATGGACCGTTCTAGTGTATACCATGGGCCGTTCTAGTGTGTACCATGGACCGTTCTAGTGTATACCATGGGCCGTTCTAGTGTATACCATGGACCGTTCTAGTGTGTACCATGGACCGTTCTAGTGTATACCATGGACCGTTCTAGTGTGTACCATGGACCGTTCTAGTGTATACCATGGGCCGTTCTAGTGTGTACCATGGACCGTTCTAGTGTGTACCATGGACCGTTCTAGTGCATACCATTGACCGTTCTAGTGTATAGAAGTATGATTTATACTGTCCATCAGCAGAGGTTTGCAGTGGCCTGCCAGAGTTGATATTACTTTCTTTCGGTCACCCAAGACTTGCCTTGAAGATATCTCAAAATTATGAGTCTATATCTGAAGAAATAGGCGAGGCAGTGTGATATCAGAAAAAAGATACTTCTACTACGTAAGCCTTTTAGGGCCATTTGTTTATTTTTTATATTTTTTTCTTGAAATTTGATGATTCTATGTTGAATTCCGTACTTCTACACATAGACCTACCATATTTAACCTTTTAATTTATTTTTTTTCTAATAGTGAGTGAGTATGGTTTTACGCCGCAATATTCCAGCAATATCAAGGCGGGGGTCACCAGAAATTGGCTTCACACATCGTTCCTATTTTGGGAATTGAACCCGGGTCTTCGGCGTGACGAGCGAACGCTTAAGCCACCAGGCTACCCCACCGCCCCTCTTTTCTAATATATGAATGTGAAACGTCGTGTCCTGTATAAGATGATGACTACATGCACGCTTAAAGAAGGTTTTAAATAAATCCCGACACCAGGTGTCTGTGGCCATTACTGGTAGCTCCTTTACTGCGTGCATGTCTATATTAATACAACTGCAGTCCCTTTAAACCGTGAGCCATGATGGCAAATATGTGTCGAGGCATCAGTGAAAAAGAAAATATATTGTTTTACATTTAATCTTCATCGTATCGCCTGTTGTGATTAAAAAACCCCCGATTAATTGTCTTTGTTGATCTTAAAACAGGTAAGAAGACTGTGACGTGAATACAGGAATGTGGGATAGGTTACAGAAGGAACCATTTGAGAAACTGGTCATTTTAGAGAACAAGATACCGTGCTTCCAATTTAGCGGTTTTAAACGTAAATGTATATTCGATATCGGTAAAGTTGGTTGGTTTGTTGTTTAACGCCGCACTCAGCAATATTCCAGCTATATGACGGCGGTGATATCGGTAAAGAGTTATGTTTATTTGTCATGTACGCTTTAATTATTTCCTTTAATCTTCCCAGAATTTTCTTTTAGCATTATTGGAGGATTTCCATTTAAAGTCTTTAGAAAAAGGGATTCTTCAAGAAAACACACAACACTATGTTGATAGAGTTTATTCTGAATATTAGGCATGGTGACATATTTTCCTACAGTCTTACACTCTAAGGTGCCTACCTCCTAGATAAGCCATAGTCCGTCGTCAGTTTGGAATTCACATGGTCTTACGGATGGAACACCTTACTTCTTGGCTCGTTCTTGGCAGACCGGTGAATTTTGTTTTAGTGTCATGATTTTACGAGAGCTTCAGCCTCAGCATGCGCGCGCAAGGTTACTGTCGTGACACGCGCAAGGTTACTGTCGTGACACGCGCGAATTGGTTTCTGTATTCTTGGAGCAAACAGATTATCTGTAGATTTCCTTCATAATTCTAACGTTTGTTTGTTCAAAGGAAAGAGACCCCCGGGAACATTGTTATTCATGCGGGTGATACGGTCATCAACAAAATGCATGGTCTGACATAGTTTCTGTAATACCACAAGCGGGCCAATCAGAATGCAGGATTCTAAAATGTCACTGTAAAATTTCATTTAATTTTCGTAGGTATTTTTCACTTGGTTCATTCTTATTTGCAGACATTCTGGGACGACCTTCTCTCCAATGGTCGGAAATGGGGTCTGATGACGTATGAACAGGTAGACATGTGTTTTTCTTTCTGTGAACGATTGACTTGCCGTTTGATAGTGATTCATAAACACATGCTCATATCACACACACACTAAACACTGACTCATGTGTGTAAAGCATATGATGGCTACTGGTCCAATACTCCAAAAATACAAAATTTAATACATGCAATTTGATTTGATACCTCTGCATCGGAATGTCAAAGGGCATATCGTTCATATTTTCAGGACTGGCTAAATGTCGAGTTTGCCGGAGTTCCGTCTCTCACTGAAGATGTCTACCTGGCAGAGACGTGGCTCAACCAGATGGGACGGGGAGCTGCCAAGAATGGTCTGACCATCCAGTACTGCATGGCCAACAGTCGACACATTCTCCAAGGGATTACTTTACCTGCCGTAACACAGGTAGACATCGTAGCATACAGTTGTATGCATGTGTAAACTTGATATTTCTGTTTTGAAACGATAACTGAGAAATGTTCTATTTTAGTTGCATTAATACAGATCTTTTGAAATGTTCTACCTCATACGCACATACACACATTGCTGTAGATGTGACACAGCCACCGTTACATGTCTGCATGGAATCAGAATTGTTCAGGTAGGTAAAGATACGTGGACACACGACGTTTTCCGGTGACAGGTTGCCGGATCTGCCCTGAAGAAACTGAATTCATGTTGTCCGATTCCGTCTGCCCGAAATTCGTTTTCTTAAAGCGTGCGTCCTACTGGCGTGCTTGGATCCTGACTGTGGATTCGAAAACCAGATTCGCACTGACTATGACTAAAGTTCCCACAGTGGTGAACATCCACGATCTCATTGGCAGATACGCCATGCTGTTGCAGAAATAATTCGACGTAAAATACAACTCACTCGCCCACTCATACACTATCCCATTAACCCACTCCCTCACTCACCCACTCACCCACTCACCCCGTCACCCTCTCACTCACGCATATATCCTGATCTACTTGACAGGCTAGAGCCAGCGATGACTACCATCCCGGAACCCAACAATGGCGGATTGGCGTTTCATCTGTGTTTGCCTGGGCTATCGGCATCGCTCCTTTCAAAGACAACTTCTGGACCACGACTGTTCAACCTGGTACCTCTTACAAAGGTAAGTATATGAAACTACCTCTTACGACAAGCATAGTCGCCTTTTGCGGCAAGCTGTTTAGATCCTAAACATGGTTAACTTAGAAACACTCTAAGGCCTTGAAAGACACAAGATCGCAACATCACAAGATGTTGACAACTTATCTTGGATTTGTTTAATATCACAACAAATATGTCCATTACATACTTCTCATTTTTCATGTTTGACTTTCAAGCAATAATATCACATGATTATGTGTGTATGTGTGTGAGTGTGAGAGTAGGTGAGTATATTTGTGAGTGTGAGTGTGCGTGTATGTGTGTGTGAGTATCTGTGTGCGTGAGCATATGTGTGTGTGTGAGTATCTGTGTATGTGCGTATGTGTCTGTGAGTGTATGTGTGCATGTGAGTATCTGTGTGTGTGATTATCTGTGTGTGTATTTGTGTGTGTATCTGTGTGTGTGAGTATCTGTGTGTATCTCTGTGTGTGAGTATCTGTGTATGTGAGAGTATCTGTGTGTATTTGTGTGTGTATCTGTGTGTGTGAGTATCTGTGTGTGTGAGAGCACCTGTGTATGTGAGAGTATATGTGTGTGTTTGAGTATCTATGTGTGTGAGTATCTGTGTGTGTGAGTATATATGTGTTTGAGTATCTATGTGTGTGAGTATCTGTGTATGTGAGTATCTATGTGTGTGAGTATCTATGTATGTGATTATCTCTGTGTCTGAGTATTTGTTTGTGAGAGTATCAGTGTGTGTGAGTATCTATGTGTGTGAGTATCTATGTATGTGAGTATCTGTGTGTGTGAGTATATGTGTGTGAGAGTATTTGTGTGTGTAAGTATCTATGTGTGTAAGTATCTGTGTGTGTGAGTATCTGTGTGTCTGAGTATGTGTGTGTGTATGAGTATCTGTGTGTGTGAGTATATGTGTGTGAGAGTATATGTGTGTGTGAGTATCTATGTGTGTGAGTATCTATGTGTGTGAGTATCTGTGTATGTTAGTATATGTGTGTGAGCATATGTTTGTGTGTGAGTTTCTGCGTGTGTGAGTATATCTGTGTGTGAGAGTATCCCTGTGTGTGAGTATATGTGTGTGTGTGAGAGTATATGTGTGTGTGAGTATCTGTGTGTGTGAGAGTATATATGTGTGTGAGTATATAAGTTGGTGAGTATCTATGTATGTGAATATATGTGTGTGAGCGTATCTGTGTGTGTGTGAGTATCTATGTGAGAGAGTATCCCTGTGTGTGAGTATATGTGTGTGTGAGAGTATCACTGTGTGTGAGTATCTATGTGAGAGAGTATCCCTGTGTGTGAGTATATGTGTGTGAGAGTATCCCTGTGTGTGAGTATCTATGTGTGAGAGTATCCCTGTGTGTGTGTCTGCGTGTGAGTATATGTGTGTGTGAGAGTATCACTGCGTGTGAGTATCTATGTGAGAGAGTACCCCTGTGTGTGAGTATATGTGTGTGAGAGTATCCCTGTGTGTGAGTATCTATGTGTGAGAGTATCCCTGTGTGTGAGTGTCTGCGTGTGAGTATATGTGTGTGTGAGAGTATCAGTGTGTGTGAGTATCTATGTGAGAGAGTATCCCTGTGTATGAGTATATGTGTGTGTGAGAGTATCACTGTGTGTGAGTATCTATGTGAGAGAGTATCCCTGTGTGTGAGTATATGTGTGTGAGAGTATCCCTGTGTGTGAGTATCTATGTGTGAGAGTATCCCTGTGTGTGAGTATATGTATGTGTGAGAGAGTATCTGTGTGTGTGAGTATCTATGTGAGTGTGAGCGAATGTGTATATGTGTGTTTGTGTGTGTGAGTATTTGTGTGAGTGTAAGTGAATGTGTATATGTGTGTTTGTGTGTGTGATTATCTGTGTGTGTGAGTGTATCGATTTACCTAGTTACCGCTGAATCGAAATATAATTGTTTATGGAAATCGTGGTATGCATTGTTCTCGTTCAGATGCTACACATTAAGGCCTTTAGGAGGGTGGGGTGGGCGTGTGTCTGAGTCATGGCGATCATGCACCCGTGTCTTCATTGCAGGGGCAACAGAGCCGTACACGGAGCTGAACGCCCTGGTGGCCACCCTCAGCACAGGGCCTGTCGGACCAAGTGACATGATCGGCAAATTCAACAAGACAATCATTATGAAGTAATTGTTTGATAGGCATTACTTAGAAGTTGACGGATGACAAAGTGTGCAAAGGATAGCAACTTCTTTATTTACTATAAAGGCGACGTTTAAAACCTTATTCCATTGTCAAGCAAGGCATGTTCTCTGTCAATCATGTTCTTACGGTAATATTCTTAAGTTGTCAATACTTAACCTAACAATGTTAATAAAAATGTATGTAATGTTTTTAACTGTTAATCTTCCACGTACTATATATATATTGTACCATGTTCATTATTCAGCCTTGCTTGACAACGGTATAGGGATCTATACCGAAACGTCGCCTTCACAGTAGATAAAGAAGTTAAAATTGTGTCTACTTTGTCATTATGGAGTAAGTGTTGATTCCTGTCAAAAGAGGAACACCGTTCTTCATAAATATCTTATTGTAGGGTATGGACAGACGTTTTCAGCAACATGTGCGTTCAGTCACACCAACACGAAGTGTGTGTGATGCAGTAAATGGTCCCACAAACAATATTTTTCGAGCTTCTCCCTACCAGTTTTTTTTTGCTTCATCTGTTTTATAACAAGACCCACTACATGAAGAATTGGCATGTTTCTTTATTTCCAATACTTGTTGTTGTATTATGATTTATAGTTATTAATTGTATTATGATTTATAGTTATTAATTGAAACATGCATAACAACATTGGGTTTTAGGAGCGTGAATTCTGAGGGACTGATCCTGAAGCCATCGAGACCCGCCACAGCTATTGACAACATGATCAGGAGGGTAAACACAAAATGAAGGATTTACGCATTTTTTAGGACTTCAAGCATCAGTGAACGGTTACTTTTTTCTGTAAAACCGGCGATGAAAGTAAAATGTTTTTAAGCATTTTCTGGATCGAATTATTTGAAAAATATAAGTAAAAGGATAAGATAATCAAATGGGCGGACACTCAATAGGTATTACTATGTTATATTTGTTTTTGTCTTTCTCGGAAAGCTTGAGCAAAGTAGCATTGGCGAGGAGCCGTAACGACGGACGTCGAGTATGTAAATCCGGAGGTAAAATCATTTTAACTGTTTCCGGCATTTTCTGGATCAAGGTCATTAAAATGATTTTCAAGCCAATGTAATTATTTTCAGCTGGCATGGAACGATTTTGAAGGCCCAGATGGGGAAGTATGGTCGACGTATTCTGACTTTGGTGGAAGCAACAAATATGGCATAGTGCTTGCTGCAGACCTCCACGGGAACTACACCATGACGCCATGCATGGCTGGGTTCCAAGGGGTAAGGGCAATCAGGCGATACACACCAATGAAACAGTTCACCCACACGTATATGGTTTTAAATGAGTGAGTAAGGTAATATTTAACGTCACATCGGCTATATTTCAGCCATATTGTGACGAGACCAATTTATATATTAAGAGTAAATGCAGTTAGTAAAAGAACTAGAGTATCACAGATTTGAATTTAAAACTTGCATTTGTTCTTAAAATATGTCTATTCATTATAACAACAAATGATAAAAACGAGCTATAGGTCACCAGCAACCAAAGTTAGGCCACCATACCAGGGACCATGGGGACTTACGGTACTTCTGCTTCCTACACGGTATCTCAGCAGGATTTACATCATCCCTCTGGCTGCTGGCAATAATTGTCAGACAGTTAAGCCAAACAGTTAAAATCAACAAGAATACTACGATTAAAGCCACAAAGAAATGAAAAAAATACTTTGAATGATATGGGACTGATAATTATTTTACGATACTTCAACCCCCTTCAAAGACACAACCACAATTCCTATCATGATGAATCTGTGCAACAAAAACTTTCATACATGGTGACATGGGATTACCGTTATTGCAAAGAAAAAACATTTTACATTTCTCTGAAAATAATAGTGAGTTTATAGTTTTTACCTTTGCAAGACAACTGACTGACCATGATCTACGTCTTGCAATTTGTCATATCACAGATTATGACAATCTGACCCTATTTTAGCCTGCTCTTTCGACAAGAATTTGATACCTGGAACTTATTCGGAACCAGCTTCTAAGCAGAGGCACTGTAAATGAAAGCGACAAACCCTTTCAATATTCATAAGAAATCTCTGCCTCATCAAACAGATCATGATCAAGAGTCGTATGATGCACTTTGAAAACTTTGTAGAAAGAGACTTCTCGATTGTACCTCAACAGTTGTGGAATGTGGACACCAAATGTTGGAGCTGCTTGAATATTGATTGGCATTAACGGGAAGTCAATCACGATTATTGAAAAGTTGAAGTCAGCCCGTCGTGATTCAGATCCAGCGTATGTTCATCCCATCAGAATACTTTGACTAAACTGTATGCTTCCAGTTCCCCAAGTCTATGGTGTTCCCTGCTAAAGACCCCAACAAGGTCCAACTGCTGACAGACCCCCAGCCTCTCCAGATGAGTGGCTGTACCATGGTGGACTTCTGTCTGTACTATGTCTCGCCCGTTGTAACATTTCAAGGGTGAGGATGATTTATTCAATAGCATCATTACTTCACTTGGTATAGGCTGATAATATGTTGCAACCGTGCTACAGCCAATTTTTAACATTTCTTTCTCAAATTATTAGCATAGAAATATAACATTCCCATATTTTGTAAAGTCTTCGAATTGTTTTCAGACATTAACATGTTAAATTCGTGTAAACTAGGAAATATATACTGAACCGCAAAAGAAACATCACCATGGATAGATATATGAGAAACCTTATTTGTCCAAACACTGTAAACATACTTTGAGACACATTAAGAAGATAAAACTTGGCAAAACTGATCATCAAGGTTGAAATTAAAGTGTCAAATGTTCTTTAAATGAAACACAACACAAGTCTCTGAGAAAATGGCATCACAAGTCAGTATATCGTGTGTCCGCCATGTGCATTGATGACTGCCGTCAATACATGGAATAGATGAGGTGGTTGATGAAGGCCATAGGCACTTGAGCCCACACTCGGAGGAACGCCTGATGGAGTTCAGCTGCAGTTGTTGGCCTTGGTCGGACGTCATTCAGCCGTCTTAGAATTTTCTCCCACAGGTGCTCATTGGGATTTGAATTGGGCCTGAGGGCAGGCCACTGCATGGTTCTGATGCCATTCTGCTGGACGAAGTCTCGAGTTGCTCTCAAAGTGTGGGCACGAGCGTTATCATGCTGAAATTCGTGGTTTCGGCGACGTGCCAAATGATGTATGGCGTGTTGTCTCAAGACTTGATCAATGTACCGAGCTGCTGTGACACCATTGCCTCTCCCTGGACCGATGTTCTGGAAGACCAAAGGGACGACCCTCTGTGAAAGACCAATTCCATCATGATGCTCGGACCACCCCACGAGTCTCTCTCAACAACAGAACCATCCGAATGAAGTTCCCCACGGCGTCGCCGATCCGATCTTAATTAGTTCTTAGTTCTTCGTAAACACATGGAATATAACACTATAAGCTGTTTTATGTTCACTGCTTAAAAGAACGCTTATTATGAATGCCCATGCAGGGAGAGACCCTCTGCTACTCCCAGACTTAAATAGGTCCCAAGAAATCAGAGGGGTGACGTTTTTCATTACATCAATAATTGGATTGTCCAACCTTGACTCATTGGTAAGAGGTCATATAGTTATGTGTGTATGTTACACCGCACTCAGCACTGCTCCAGCTCTATGATGGCGGCCTGTAACAAATCGAGCCTGGAACTGGCACTCCGGAGGATGTTTACCGACCAATTTTTATTTAGTTTCCTCTTTGACAGATTCTAACTTGGAATCCAAATTAAGCACATATTAAGCACTTACGATGAACAAACGACGGCTATTGTAAGTGATGTGGCATTGGCGTAAAGGGGTTTAGGAACTGAATGGCTTTCCTGAAACTACAAGTCGAGGTGTAAGATCGGTCATCTCAAAAAGTCATTTTCACCTAGATACTGAAATATGCAACGTATTTACCATTACATCACAAGTTACAAGTTTCGGCGTGGTAATTTGATATAATTCTTCTAATTGGAAGTTTACACGATATAGAGCGTTTCCATTGAACGGGAGGTCGGTCACATGACCCCGATATTGACGTACAGAAGTGTATGAACGACACAATTTGACGTTCATACGAGACCGTGTACCGTGTCGCAAGCTCAGGGGTTCATACAATCATTATGACGTCACACTATGTACAAACTGACCAGCTCCTATGCGTTCTACCGAAAGGCTGACTGTCCAGATATACAGCAGGATGAAATCACAGTTTATGATATATGGTTGTTACGCATTATTATTATCATTATCATTATTATTATTATCATTATTATCATCATCATCATCATCATCATCATTATTATTATCATCATCAGTATTATTATTATTATTATTATTATTATTATTGTTGTTGTTTTCATTGGAAAAAGAAGGAAAATGAAATAAGAAAGAAGCAAATTGTTTATTACAGACATCAGGTCCTGATTCAAGGAGAACTTGATAAGTGGGTGCCGATGTCCCCACAGAGAGTTGTTGACATCAACGTTGACAGCAACGACATCAACGTCCGTATTACAGGAGGCGCCTTAGAAGAGGTCAAATTCTGGTTCAACACTGATGGCGTGTCAAAAAGTGTTACATGCTATCTCGGCAACACTGGGGATGCTTCTATAAGTTACAAAAAAGGGGGCTGTCAGTATGACTAAGACACGCAACACGCTGCGGAGATATTGTTCTGTTGGCATTTAATATAAAGGATATAGTTATAAAGGGACACTGTCGTGATACATTATATTCTCCTTTGTATCTAATTATGTACACGGTGTTTGCCTTGGGATGATCATGTATGTCAAATAAATAATAATGCATTTACGTTTTGTTCCTTATGACTTTCACTTTGAACTGACTTTGACGGACCTAGGAAATACACTGCCGGACAAAAGAGGATATGCACTAATGTTTGATGATGGCTAAAAATGAAACAAACAAGAAATGGTGAATCGTTGGAGATGGATTGTTACGGGGCTTCAAAGTTGTATTTTGGTCCTTAAATTTGCATTGTTTTGGTGACTGTTTTCAGCCTCGGAAGGTTTTGCTCACGTGTGTAATTATTTTGTCAAATCCAATTGTCAAATTACGTTCTTTTGCATGGCAGTTTACATGCTTACGTTGAAAGACACACCCTTGAAGTCCGTTTATACCATCAGCGACCACACTACACTGAAACAAAGGCAGTCAGGTCCTTATTTAACAGTCCTGAAACGAGGTTACAGATACAAAGTGGTGTATGTTGCTGAAAAACAGCAATAGGTCATTAAGGGGAGCTTTCCAGACTAACGGTCCCCGGGTTAACGAGGTATTAGTGTATATGCAAAAACTATCAAATACCAAGATGTTACGTATTCCGGTGTAATAATAATGTATTACTATAGATGCCAATGAGTAATTGACAGCATCATGTTCCTAAAGTGACGACAGAGGGCGATGGGTTCGAGATTCCGCTTGTCATGCCCAAGACCTAGGTACAACTTTTCACCTTGGTACATATGATAAGGAAAATCCTTGGCGCCCAACATCTTGAAGTGCAAACTTTATGCCTTCTTTAAACATCAGCACATCTAAGGGCAAAGGACATATCATCTTAAGTCCCATACACACCTCCTGTTGATTACGCGTTAACATATGTCCGCAGCAACACATGATGGTCGACAGGGGCAACGTAATGAATCTGTTTGGTTGATTGCGATATGGGACGTTGTTCATGTTCAATCACTGGATTGTCAATTCCAGATTATGGATATGTGCCTTTGTTGTTTAACGCCGTACTCAGTAATATCCCAGATTATTCAGTAATACTTAGATTAATATTATGAACAACGTTCCAAGGGGTACATTAACACGCTATCAATTCACTGAACCTGACCACTGGATCAATTAAGTTAGCCCTTACGACCAGAATCCCACGACTTAACAATTCAGCCGCCACTGACAAAAAGCAATGTCAAAAAGCTGGACTATTGCTGGGGACATTTAACAAGGAAGAGAATGTGGTTTGAATATGCGTCTGTGAGCTTTGAACCGGCTTTAAAATGAAGAATGATGTGGTAGTGAATTGAAATATATGAGCCAGCTACGGATAAATCACAAAGGACAATGCAGAACAAGGCATGGTTTATTTCTCTATTAAACATTGTTCTATCACGACGTCATTTCTGAAGATTGAAACATTTGCTGGCAACTTGTTGACGTCGTAAATTTGACGCTATTTGTGAGAGGGTAGTGGGTTGTATCTGGTCAACGCAGGTAAAACATTAGCAGAAAATGATCGTCAGTTGTTTTCGTTTGTGACAATATTCAGGAAATGCCAAACGTGTTTGGTTTTTGTAATTCTTTTTTAAACACCCTTAAAGAGGCTGTCAATGAATGTTTAAACTTATCCTATCTCACACTTTGCATTTCACATTCTTCTTTCGCTTCTAAGTTGAAACGTGCCCAAACAAAGGGGTTACAAAAACAATTCACCCGAACACACCCAGCATCAACATGGACACCTCCCAGTAATTTGGGTCATGCATGCCTTTCTTGCCGATTGAGCAGCATGCGCTGAACACGAGGTTTTCCCAGCTGTTAGTTCTCTTTCTAATCGCTACCTTATTTTTTTACATCAAGGAAATTCATTTGATATTTGCCTTTTTTTGTTAATTTTCCCTCTTTAACTGGACAGTTTTTGTTTCTACCAGTCGATTTTCATCACTGACGAGCAGCCCACACGCCGTCCCGCGTGTTTTTTCTTGCAGAAGGCTTTTTTCACCATCAGATGATGCTGCGACTGTCATGGGCGTTGCAGCACTTTGGCGCGATGTGCTCAATACGTGGATTTGCATCGTTTGGTATTTAGTTGCACAAATGTCGGCGCCGTGAGCAAGATAGGCTGTCTGACATTTACGACAAAATGACAAAAACCAATGAAAACGTCCGTAAAGAAACCAAGCAGATCGGCGAAACTATGAACGTGGATTCAGCTTCCAGTTTTATCCGTCGATAAAGATGGCATAAAAGATAAAAGATAGCTTCTTAACTTTCGACGTTTCTGTCTTGACCAAGCTTGAAGAATGCATGGGCTTAGATGTACCAAATGTACTCTGGGCGAATGTGGATCCGACCAAAACATTTTTATTTTTTGTGCACTCTACCTTGACTGCTCTTACTATGACAAGGGCTACCGGAAATTGCATGGCTTCTTCGTCACCGTCGTCTTCAGTAGCGGTGGTTGTCAAGCCTCCGTTCTTTGGTCGACATTCACTCATCATCGCTCCCGTCTACTGCTAGACGTTCCAGATCCCGAATTCGTTGCTCTCTTCACAGGATATCTTCTCAAGATTCATGTGGATCTTACTCTCGAGGTTTTTCTCACAAGGAACATCAAACTCCCGATGGACACCTGTGCTTGCCATAATGGGCAACTATGTTTGTCGTTAGAGGCGACTAACGGGATCTGTTGGTTACGCTCGCCGACTTGATTGGTGCATGTTATCGTATCCCAATTCCGTGGATCGATGCTCATGATGAAAACTGGATTGTCTGATCCAGACTAGTTTTACAGACTATTGCTGAGTGCGGCGTTAAACAACAAACAAAACTTAATTTGGTTTGTATCACTGATTAGCTCCAATTTCTTCGTGTATATCCTACGGTTAGTTTCGACCGTGGCATGAATGCATTTTGTGGGATAGGATAAATTTAAAACGGTAAATTTTACACTAAATTGTATAGGTATAATACTAATCCTATGTCATACGCTATAAGCCCCCCATCACAATTCCTCTGGCCTATCAAGCTCCAGAAAGACAATAAGTTGGCTGGGCAGATCACGTGTTCGGCGCGTGAAGGTCAAGAACAAGAAAAGCAGGCATGACCTAGATGACTGGAAGGTGACGAATCGAAGCTGGAAGCCTTTGTTTAGGCACGTTTCCACTTAGGATCGAAAGAAGAAAGACAATGACATAGATAAGATACGTATTATAAATAAGCAATTAATTGTACAATTTACCATTTTAATATCTCATATTAGAAATAAGCGACTCGCGCTCATTGTCTATCGTAAAATAAGACACAGCTGAGGGAATAAACCTCTCGGGCTGCGCTCCCCGTTCTCTGTTTTCCCTGCCGTTCCTCATTGTACGACAAACAACGATCACGGTTGTTTAAAATAAAAAGTTGGATTTCGAGGATGCTTGTATGCTAGTATGTAAGAATCAAATCCGAAGTGATGCATTTTTATGTTGAATTTGTTATAAACAGCTAACACCCGCTGTCAAGATTCCGATTATATGGTTAAGTAGCATGATAAGCTATTTGATTGCACGGTTCTGCATCAGACGACTTAATTAATGGACTAATTGTTTCCTTACAAGAATATTTCTCTGTCAGCAACTACCATTTTAAAGTCATGTTTTTCCTGATTACAATTAAGGAGGGAATTACATTTACATAGCCACAAAAAATATTTCATTCACAGAAACTTTTGTACGATTTAAATCCAGGATAACCACAGATACATCCAACCTAATCTCATATGGTCTCCGATAAAAATAACATCGCTTTAAAGATAAACCGAGGTCCAAACTGTCGGCGTGGCTACTCAAACATCGTAGTCATTGAACTGACATGTTAGCCAGAAAATATGTTTAACCTAAATGTCTGTCAGTGAATTACAATAAGCAATGTACATGTTGTTGTTGTTGTTTGTTGTTTAACGCCGCACTCAGCAATAATACAGTTATATGACGGCGGTCTGTAAATAATCGAATCTGGCCCAGACAATCCAGTGCATCAACCAAGTCAGAGAGCCTGACCAATCGATCCCGTTAGTCGCCTTTTACGACAAGCACATGTACCATGTACGGTTCAACATTTGCATGAGTGGTTGTATGTGAAATTTCGGCTATCTATCTAGCACAAAGCTGTCATGTGGGTTGAGATAACAGCTGATCTTGTTACCCGACTGTTGTTGTCAAGGTCAGTAGTATCTGTCCAGAACTGGGCCGGCTCCGAGAGACTCACGTAACGATGTCGTCGACGGCGGGTATGTATTACGTTTGTAATGTAAGACTTGAGTTTCTGCTCACATACGTGTAAACGTTTACTGAGCCGTTATTACAACAGCCACCTTTTAACGAGAACGGTTACGCTGCAGGAGTATCTTGTGTGCGATGAATTAGACGAAATGTACATGTTGGTGAGTGAGTGAGTGAGTTGGGGTTGAGGCTACTGTGAACGATGGCTATGTTGAGTGAGTGAGTGAGTTGGGGTTGTTGCTACTGTGAACGATTGCTATGGTTAGTGAGCGAGTGAGTTGGGGTTGTGGCTACTGTGAACGATGGCTATGTTGAGTGAGTGTGTGAGTTGGGGTTGAGGCTACTGTGAACGATGGCTATGTTTAGTGAGTCAGTGAGTTGGGGTTGTGGCTACTGTGAACGATGGCTATGTTAAGTGAGTCAGTTGGGGTTGTGGCTACTGTGAACGATGGCTATGTTGAGTGAGTGAGTGAGTTGGGGTCGTGGCTACTGTGAACGATGGCTATGTTTAGTGAGTGAGTGAGTTGGGGTTGTGGCTACTGTGAACGATGGCTATGTTTAGTGAGTGAGTGAGTTGGGGTCGTGGCTACTGTGAACGATGGCTATGTTTAGTGAGTGAGTGAGTTGGGGTTGTGGCTACTGTGAACGATAGCTATGTTCAGTGAGTGAGTGAGTTGGGGTTGAGGCTACTGTGAACGATAGCTATGTTGAGTGAGTGAGTAAGTTGGGGTTGTGGCTACTGTGAACGATGGCTATGTTTAGTGAGCGAGTGAGTTGGGGTTGTGGCTACTGTGAACGATGGCTATGTTTAGTGAGTGAGTGAGTTGGGGTTGTGACTACTGTGAACGATGGCTATGTAGAGTGAGTGAGTGTAAGCTTACACACCGTGATAAACTGGAATACTGATAAAAGCGGCGTTAAACCCAACTCACTCACTAATAGATTTTCCGATTAGAATAAATGGTTTGTTACATAGATCTCAAGCTAGTTTCAGCATATGAAGAGTGTAAGAGAAGGATCTAATCATTGAATTTATGGCTTGTGAGGGGAAAATTAAAAAAATCAAAATATTGCATCAACTCTATCCTTTATCACAACCAGTAGCACATCCCATGTCCAACTTTCATAGATAGAGACGAATAACGATCTGGGATAGAATTGTCTTAAGCAACCCATGCTTGCCATAAATGGCGATTATGCTTGCCTTAAGAGGCGGATAAAGGGATCGGGTGGCCAGGCTCGCTTTCTTGGTTGACGGCTGTCATCGTATCCCAGTCACACAATATATATACTGAAGTATGTGTTGGCTGACGATGCACTGCAGTACTCCTGCCATACAACGACGGTCCGTTAGGCCGGGTAATCAAATAATGGGACGGAAATTCGAGTGACACGATAGCTCATTTATTGACTTTGTTGAAACTAAAAGCTATTTTTAAATTTTCAATTGCGCCTGATGGTAAAAGTGCAGAGGTTCTGTCGTTTGTAAGTTAAGACAAACGTACTAGAAGTATGCTTGTTTTGCAACGCATTTAACGTTGGACATCAGTGCAGTCACCGGTACATTGGGGACGTACATTGTCACGCGTCACAAAATGCTCACATGGTATTTCTCTATACACAGAGAGAATCCTCGCCAATCTGGACGGCGGCGTTTCGGCGTGTCCGGTTTAACCAATTTACGGACTAACGAACTATCGTATTTGAGAAATATCCTTTTTATATGTAGACGTCCTTAAACGTTATCGTCCGACAAACAGGTTCAATCACTTGTCTTTTTGTCATGCAGATTTCACATTTGACAACAACTTCGACATTACTGACGATGTCAAGAAAGCCTTTGATGACCATGGATACATTATTATCAGGTAACTCTATTCCTGTTTTATTCATGAAATATTTTACAAAAATATTTGTTTCACGGGCATATTTTTCTCAAAAGTGAGGAGGGCGGTAACACTAGATTTCTATTTTTCATTGAAATCAAAAGTGATGCGGCAGGAATTGTTGTTCATATGTTTCGCAGTTAGAATACCAAAAACACAAATAAACACACATTAGCCATTGCTTGTATTACAGCGTCAGTTATCAAGCGCTGATTTTATAAATTATTTCTTTATTGTCAACAAGTATGATAGTTGAGGGACGTTTCCCTTCTTAGCCTGACCGACCCGTGAAGATCCGGGGTAGAATTGGTCTTCAGCAACCCATGCTTGCCGTAAAAGGCGACTATGCCTCTCGTATGAGGCGACTAACGGGATCGGGTGGTGAGGCTCGCTGAGTTGGTTGATGCATGTCATCGTATCCTAATTGCGTGGATCGATGCTCATGATGTCACTGGACAATCACTGGATAGTCTGGTCCAGACTCGATTAGTTACAGACCGCCTTCATATAGCTGGAATATTGCTGAGTGCGGCGTTAAACAACAAACAAACAAAATCTTAGCCTAACCGATCAGATAACTTGACTTCGGTGTTTACCTGAACTATCATACTGTATCCAGTTACGTTATAATCAGATTAGTCAGCACCCTTGTGACATCAGAAACATTGCTTTGTTTGTTTGTTTGTTGTGTTATGCTGCACTCAGTAATATGCCAGCAATGTGGCGGCGATCTGTAATTGATCGAGTCTGGACCAGACAATCCAGTGATTGACATCATGAGCATCTATCCACGCAATTTGGATACGATGACATGCATGAACCAAGTCAGCGAGCCTGACCACCATTGCCTGTCTTATATACAGGCGCTCAGAACAGACAGACAGTAGTTTATAGGTGTTTCACTTCTGAACATACAAAAATCACTTTGTACAACTTGACATAGACAGAATGTACAGAACCATTCGATAGAATTATGAGAGACAAATTATCATAAAAATCATACATATGCTGTAAAGTTGATATAGTAAAACAATTTCCATATAAAAGATGCTTTCTACGATTAAGAATTAAAAAGCAGACTTTGGTAAGTATAAAACAAACACTGGCTTCACTGAAAATTAAACAAAGTTTGTCGATGTCAGGTATATCTAGAAAGTTATAATATTTAGCAATACATTCATGTAAAAGAGTTGCCCTGATATCGTCATATAATACGCCTCGTCTTCTACGCTGTCATTACAGTGAAAACATTTTCTATTATGGACAGGTACACCTTCGTAACGACCGGTTTCCACTCGAATAGGAGCCACTTTCGGTCTAGGTTTTGTCGCTTTTATTCCTTGTCATGGTGTTGTGTTGTGTTGCCATGGTGTTGTGTTGTGTTGTCATGGTGTTGTGTTGTCATGGTAGTGTGTTGTGTTGTGTTGTCATGGTGTTGTGTTGTGTTGCCATGGTGTTGTGTTGTGTTATCATGGTGTTGTGTTGTGTTGTCATGGTGTTGTGTTGTGTTGCCATGGTGTTGTGTTGTCATGGTGTTGTGTTGTCATGGTGTTGTGTTGTCATGGTGTTGTGTTGTGTTGTCATGGTGTTGCGTTGTGTTGTGTTGTCATGGTGTTGTGTTGTGTAATCATGGTGTTGTGTTGTCATGGTGTTGTGTTGTGTTGCCATGTCTACTGCAGTGCCCTGTCAGTGATCGTCGCGGTGGCGTGTGTCCTTCATCCGTTTACGGCGTCCTCTCACGTGAAGGTGTTAAAACGCTGAAACATGATCTGATATGAATTTCTATAAAGGACTTCGTGAGGAGAGCAGTGACCTTAAAAGGTTGTTATTGCACAAGAGGTTTCACACAGATAGAAACGCAACTAACATGTTCACATGTTCAACACATCTAGATATTGTGAACAATAATGTACTCTTTTATTTCCCGTGTATAAGATGCACGATGTCAAATAAATCAGCACGTTCGCCTCCAAACACAGGGCTAATATTGGATTCGGAGACATTTCTTTGAAGATTTAAGGCGTTCTTAGTATTTATCTAAGCGGAAGGTGGATAAATAGGTTTTCTGTAGACATTGATGTTGCTGCCATTATTGTATTCGAATGTCCCAAATGAAGGTGAAGCACATGATGAAAGTGAAAGGCAGTGAGAAGTCATCACGACTTAGTGTGGGGTGTACACAAAAGATTCTTTTTTCCAAAATTGCATTTATCAATCAATATTTGTAAATGAAGGAAGAAAACTGTCCATTGAAAAAATGAAAAGAATGTGTCCATTGTGTAAGCTAGAGATAGAAAATGAAATTCATTTTGTGTTTGTCTGTCCATTTTACAATGATCTCCGAAAGAAATATATAAAAGATTATTTAATAGCAATGTCACCGATAAACGCCTTTGTAGTTATGCTGACGACAAAGAACGGATCAAATATATTAAATCTTTCTCTTTATATTAAGCATGCATTAGCCAAAAGAAATGAATTAATCAAACAACGTGTATATCCCAATGTGTAACAAATTTAATTGTATCTACATGCGTAACTCTTTCTTGTATATGGGCCGGTGGCCTTTTGTAAAATAAACTTCTTTGACCTTGAGTTATGTTGTCTTTGAGTAGTATACTCAGTCCATCACTTTATATCGCGTGTATCATACATTTGTGGCTCTGCTGGTTCATTGTGTTTGTAAAAGTTGCTGTGGTTTGTAGAGGCTTGCTGGATGCAGAAGAAATGACCCAACTCAAGAAAACCGTCAACGACCACAACGCCATATCAGAGAACGCTTACGGGGTTTGTGTTTTTCTGCTACTAGAAACATTCAAAACAAAACATAAATATATATGTGAAAAATGTCGTGGCTGTCGTCACATTGCCGGAGTACTGCTGTGCGGCGTTAGCCAGTAAACATTTACTTTGTTATGCAAATTGTGTGAGTGGTAGGTGAGGTGAGGGGAAATGGGGTTTAACGTCGCGTCCAAGATTATTGCACTCATATAGCGACGCGCATGCACGTGTGTGTGTGTGTGTGTGTGTGTGTGGCTGCTTGTACTAGTCCGGACTGATGCCGATTTATAGTGGTAGCAGACTAAGATACCATGCCGCAGTTTAACATGAACACCCCACTCAGACACAGTATACTGACTCCGAGCCGACCAGTCCTTGTTGTAGTCCCTTAATGCCGAGCGCCAGACAGGGTAACAACAAGTACCATCTTTTAACGTCTTTTGGTATGACGCGGCCGGGGATCGAAACCCGGGCCTTCCGCTCTCCGGGCGGACGCTCTCACCTTTAGACCACGGAGGCGGTGTGAGTGGTAGGTGCTACTGGTAGATAGTACATGCTTACCCTTTTCTGGAACACCAGGTGTCATCACTTTTTTTTTCATTGTTTTCACTACTATCTTGGACTGCTCATGCGGATACTGGAGACTGGTTATTCTGTTAAAGCAATGCGATAGTTGAGCTACTGTTTGTGATAGTAGAGACTGGTTATTCTGTTAAAGCAATGCGATAGTTGAGCTTCTGTCTGTGATAATAGAGAATGGGTATTCTGTTAAAGCAATGCCATTGTTGAGCTTCTGTTTTTGATAATAGATACTGGTTATTCTGTTAAAGCAATGCTATAGTTAAGCTACCGTTTGTTAATAGAGACTGGTTATTCTGTTAAAGCAATGCCATAGTTGAGCTTCTGTTTGTGATAATAGAGACTGGTTATTCTGTTGAAGCAATGCGATAGTTGAGCTTCTGTTTGTGATAATAGATACTGGTTATTCTGTTGAAGCAATGCGATAGTTGAGTTACTGTTTGTGATAATAGAGACTGATTATTCTGTTAAAGCAATGATATAGTTGAGTTACTGTTTGTGATAACAGAGACTGGTTATTCTGTTGAAGCAATGCTATAGGTCACCAACTATTTGTGATAATAGAGACTGGTTATTCTGCTGAAGCAATGCTATAGTTTACCTACTGTTTGTGATGGGGCAAATAAATGTCTACATTATTATTGAAAATTGGATTTGTTGTTAGATACTCATCGGTAATATCCATTGATCCATGTAATATCGCCTATGATACCCGTATTAAATACCTCACTATCGAATATCCATTTGTTGTTTGTTATATGTTCAGCCACCGTTAAGCATGGCTGCATAGTTTCACTGTTTTTTTTTTAGATTTCTATTGTTGACTTATTTCATTCAAACCTTGACATGTTGTGTCTGTCCAGCTTCCAGATGGAGATGGCGGCGAGGGGAAAATGGTTATTTGGAGCCATCCCGGAAATGACGTCACTGGCATCATAGCTCGAAGTGAAAAGGTGGCAGGATTTTCAGAAAAGGTGAAGCTGTAGGATGAGTGTTTGACACTGAGGAAGCTGTGTTATTTAATCAACATCTGTTTAAGAACGAATCCACCACCAGTCCTCCTAGCATTCAGCCTCCTGGCTGACTCTGCCTTCTTCACACATCCCTTCATGTCCGTTCCATTTCTTACGCGCTTCATCCTCATTCCGGGTTATGTCACCAGTGGCATTTAGTCTGATATTTAAAATTATTATTATTATTTATATTATTATGATTAGTAATGGTGTCATTTGTGAAAATTATTTGAAATTGGTATCTTTATTTAAAAATACGACTGTACTGCGTAAAATTCGTGTAAGATGTTAATTTATTTGTTCATCATAAAAAACTGGCAAGATTGATGATGTGGTTTTGAGGAACAATCACTCACCCACTCTCCTGTTCCTTCATATTTGATCATTATGCAATGATCATTAACAGTGAGAGGTTAATACAATTTTGAAGTGAAGTGGTGGTTCGTAGTTGTTTATGTCATAAAGTGAAACCAAACAAATGAAAATAATCTGACCTTATTTAACCATTACATTATGTAATCCAGTATAGATCCACTTCTTTCAATAAACCTTTCCCCCCATTTCCAATTTGTTTCATTATACCTCACATTTTATGACCCTTGAAACACATGACAAATTCTTGTTACGTTTTTGAACATTCTGGGAAACAAATATATAAGTTGAAATAAATAAACAAATGAATATATAGTGGAATGTCCCCCTGCTTTCATGGGTGAATATCCTAGACTCACCTTTATATTTTATGAGAGTTTCATTTTAAGGTTTCATCAGAATAAAAGGCGCTTACTTCGTGGTGATATCTTTCCAAATCTTCTTCTTTGTATTATTTGTCACTGTATTTGTAAAGGCCGAATTCAGCGTGTCAAAATTACTTTCCACGCCTGACACAATGATATCTATGTCAGCCGAGGAGAAGTTTCTCTTTCTTTTCTTCAGTCCAGAAGCGTCCATAATATATCTTAAGGTCGTCTGCCCCTACGAAGGGGAACAACTCTAATATTACAATCTTCCGTGTTTCCACACAAGAGAGTTGCTATTTTTGCCGATGCAGCTTGTTGTCGCAGGATTTACTATTCAAACCCTCACACTTGACAGCTATTGATGGAACTTTGATGTGTAACAGACTATCATTAAACTCGAACAGGTTTGTAGTTATCTATACTCACCATATCAGCTTTTATTTCATTCATGTTTAGCATCTGGCGCTTTTTTGATAAAAATTAACAGGTGCGCTTCCATTTCCGGTTTGAATTGTATAGCGTTGCTATGCAAGTTAGGATGTCGTAAATCGTAATTTCACTCGTATCTTAAGAGGGGTTTACGACGGGCTTACGATGCCTTTGTGAAACGGTCGCTAGGACATCCTAAACTAGGTCGCAGCGGTTAGGAGGTCGTAGCGCTAAGAGGCTTTCGTGAAACGGCACCCTGGACGGTACAGAAATGAGTGTCAACCAAGCTTACATTCGTCACCACTCGCCCCTTTCCGTAACCTGCAAGAAGACTCGTCCCCCTATCGATGAATGTTATGTGCGAAATTACGACAAACCAATCAGAATGCGCGTATGATTTCATGTTCTTCGTCAAAGAATCCCTCAGAAATAATTTTTGATTTCACATATGTCTTGCATCTAAAAATACACCCAAGACACAGTTAAATGTGCTCAATCATACTGTATAATTCCGCATGTCCAGATGTGCTTTAAATTGCATATATAATATATGGGGAAATGTATGTGAACCATTACGCAACGAGTTGACAATTATTTTAGGTATGCCCGTTTGCGCTAAGACTGAACCCGGTCGCAAAAATGGCCATGAGAGGGGCACGAGTCGCTATTCGGCTTGTCCCGGAATAACACGAGTTAGTCACGAATGCCAAGCGTAGTGCCATATCAAGTCGACCCAGTGTTTTCTTTTTAAGAGAGGCTATCTGACCACTGCAGGTCTGGAATCACAACAGTAGTCAAATGAACCAAATATTTCCCATGCGGTTTATTTCTGTTTGAAATATTGCCTACCGAATTCAATCAGTGTTGCACACATTTATTTGTCTGATGATCCTCTTGTGAAGCATGTCAAGACTCATGGCGAATACATTCCACAGTTTTCGTAAACGAGCCAAGGATGTGGGACATAATCTCAATGTCGGTGTTGATTTTGTTGATGGGTCTGTACTGCTGGACGGTACAGAAATGAATGTCAACCAAGTGAAGGGCCATATCAAATCGGCCCCAGACTCAATTTTCAAGAAGAGGCTATCTGAACGACCACTGCATCGAGATTATGTGCAGTGTGTTGAGACGATAAGCAACCCTGCAGAATCTTTCGCTTGGCTGAAGTCGGTTGGCCTCAAAATTGAAACAGAAGTCTTTCTGCTTGCCATTCACTTCCCACTCGAAACCTGCAACAAAATGTAAATATGAAATGCAGATTATGTACTCGATTTAATGAGACTGTCCAACACATTGTAACAGAGTTTTGGCACGACTACAGTATCTTACGACATGATGGGGTGGCTCGATCATTTTATTACCGTCTTTGCCATGCTTTAGGTTTTGACACAGAGGTCCTTCCACGGTATGACCCAGAATATGTAGAGGCTTCATGGAAAATGATAAATACAAAATTCTTTAGAATAGGCCCGTATACAGCCCAAGACCTATCCAGTCTAACAAATTTGATCTTGTCTTTTTTGATAAATCCAATGAAAGCATTTATATTATTGAAGTTTCTGACACTAATGTGAAAGACAAGATTGAGAAAAAACATGGCAAATATTGCCTTCAAAATGTCACGCTTGCATCCCAGGTACCAAGTTGCCCGACTCCCCATTGTTCTTGGTGCCTCAGGTTTGGTACATCCCAATCTGCTGACTGACATTGGGAGAGTACCCGGATTTGCTGCGAGGAATACAGCCCTTCTGACAAGCTTGGTACTGTAGAAGGCTGCAGTGCTAGGGAGTCTTCACATTGGCCGAAAAGTTCTGGATGGGTCCCATTCGCTGTCAGGGCTTTGAGAGGGGGCAAGGGGCCCGAGTTGATGATGGGCCTAAACAGCCTGGATGAGCTAGGATAATCAAAACACTCTTTGCTGCTTTTAATCTGTACATGATAATCAAAATTTACGGTCATACCCACACGCCTATGTTTATACCTCCATGAACACAAAAAAGAACATTGTCAATTCCTCATTATAAATATATTTTTTAATACAAAATATCCAGTAGGTTCAACCAAGAATATTGATCAGTAACTAATGGGACGGTGTGGTAGCCTAGTGGTTCAAGCGTTCACTCGTCACGTAGAAGGCCCGTGTTCGATTCCCCACAAGGGTAACATGTGTGAAGCCTCATCCAATTCACTCACCACGCAAACTGTTATTTCAGCTTCTTGGTGGAGAGGTGTATCACTACCACAGCAAGCTAACGATGAAGAACGCTAAGGGCGGAGGCAAGTTCATCTGGCACCAGGACTATGGGTACGACCTTCTCCACGCAGCCATCCCTTTGTCTCCCCATATGTTTTAATGTCCATGGTTTTGTCTTTTGTCACAAACATCTGACCTCCGTGAGGATTCCGGGTTAGGATGAGCACGACTTAATCGGGTTCTCGGTAACTTGATTGAATACGTGTCATCACAGCTCGAAAGTGTGATCGTTGCTCGTAATATCAATCACTTATTGTCTGTCCCTACCACGTGTATTTACTGTCCACCGTCACCGGCTGGAATATAAAAAAACATATGGACAGTTCTGAGTGTAAATAATAAAGCTGAATTATGACAGAAACACATTCAGGTGACCCTGTGAAGCAGTTGATATCGTGGAACTTCTTTAACAAATGTGTCACAATTATGTTTCCAAATATACATTTGTACTATTTGTTTCTATTTGTACCATTTGTGTACGTTTTATATTCTCAGGTTCATGTTGCTTGGCTAAATCGTAAATCAAGTACTTACCCTTACTTCCAACAGCTACTGGTACCAAAATGGCTGCCTATTCCCTGACATGCTCAGTGTCTTTATTCCGGTCGATCGCTGTGTGAAGGAAAATGGCTGCCTCGAGGTAGAGAACCTTTTTATCAGCCCAATGCGCATATATTTCTCTTTTCTGAATAAAACACCTAACCTAAATAAGCAAGAATACCATCTTTTTATGAATATTAAAATTTACAGTGTCATCATTTATATATTTATTAAGTAACATGTTGTCGTTTATGTAAAAACACTGTGCATTTTGTATTGAAATTTATTATTTTAGGGAATACTGATCAAGGGATTTATTTTGTTATCATAAAGCCATTGACTAGACATTATATCATACAATACCCCACAGGGATTCCATGTGAGCATATGTCAAAGCAACCTATTCTTGTAGTAGGTTATCGAAGACCTGCATGTGATCAAACCCCGACAGAATTGGGCATTGCTCCTACCACTGTTGTCCAGATTCCATTATTTACAGGATGGCGTCATTTAGTTGGAGTATTGCTGAGTGCGGAGTTACACAACTTTTATCATCCAAAACTGGCTCCCACAGGAGATATCGCTTGGATGAGATCAAACGATATCTACACTGTAGATATCGCTGCAATGAAATTACATCACAATGCTTTGCAGACCATTGTGACGTCACTGGTTACCATGACGTCACAATCAAATGACATCACTAATGGCTCTGCTACTGAAGCTGTTTGCAGTATTTTTTACACTGAAGATACTGCTAATTACTGTCTACAAATTGAAAAAATTGAAAGAATGATGTTGGATAAAAGGGGCAAAAATCCTCGGCAAGCCTCGGAATTTTTCCACTTTTATCAACTCGTGTTGATATATTTGATATCAAAAGACACTCGGGTGAGATTCTCTATATAATACAAATGTTAAAGGAATGTCTATATCGCCAGATTCTCGATGGCTCCAACAAATGCGGTCGAATAGAACACCAATTTCGTGAAGGGCAACATGGGGCTGACACAGACAGGGTTAAGGAAATAAGAAACCTTTGTCCTCATAAATATGTGGAGCTTGAACCAGGTGAGCAATAAATGAATCAAGTGTATTAGATCTCCTTTCTCTTATAATAAATACACCGGACCCCTTTGTCACCATGCGCTTGAAATCAACAACCAATCAAAATGCCTTTTCTGAACGCGAGTTCAAAGGAGATTCACATTCCAACCAGCTGCTTCGGCTATGCCAACGTGTTATTAAATCTCATCAGACAACTGTAATAAATGTAACATTTAGCTGGTAAAAATATTTTGGGGTCAGGCTCTGTGACTCGGGTGAGGCATTCAATCGAATCCCAATTGCGTAGATCGATGCTCATAATGTCAATCACTGGAATATTTGATCCAGACTCGATTATTTACAGACCGCCTTCATACAGCTTGAATATTGCTGAGTGTGGCGTTTAACAACAAACAAACAAAACAATCATCATTACAAATACATGGAAATGAAAGGGTGACTTATGTCTCAGCAAAAAATTGATCTCAGTGAGAACTTATCAAACTGCAATTTGATTAAACAAGAAATTTATGCGACTAACCAAGTCATTGGATATTCTTACATCATGGAAGGTCAGCACCGTGTATTAAACATGTTCTCTTACAAGCTCCAAAAATAAGCAATTCAAGTTTTAGTATTCATTGTTTATGTCAACTAAGCCGTTGCAGGCTGTTCCAGACAATCCGGTGATTGATATAATGAGCATCGATGTGCGCAATTGGGATACGATGACATGCATCAAGGTCAGCGAGCCTGACAACCCGATCCTGTCAGTCGCCTCTTAGGCCAACTACATGTATGAGTTGCTGAAGACCTGTTCTAGACCTGTACCCAGATCTTCACGTCTTTCCACACAAATCCGGTGATTGATATCATGAACATATTGCTTTCCAAAAAAGGGGACGCCCTGTTCTTCAGCTGCCTCCTCCTCCACACCAGCGGCTCCAACAACAGCAACATGAGACGCTGGGTCTTCATCCCTTGTTACAACAGGGCCAGCAACGACCCCGTGTATGAGCACCATCACCCACAGTACACTAAACTGTACAAGGTGAGACATAGTGCTTACATGCAGTACACTAAACTGTACAAGGTGAGACATAGTGCTTACATGCAGTACACTAAACTGTACAAGGTGAGACATCGTGATTACATGCAGTACACTAAACTGTACAGGGTGAGACATCGTGATTACATGCAGTACACTAAACTGTACAAGGTGAGACATCGTGATTACATGTAGTACACTAAACTGTACAAGGTGAGACATCGTGATTACATGCAGTACACTAAACTGTACAAGGTGAGACATCGTGATTACATGCAGTACACTTAACTGTACAAGGTGAGACATAGTGCTTACATGCAGTACACTAAACTGTACAGGGTGAGACATTGTGATTACATGCAGTACACTAAACTGTACACATCACCACCAACAGTACACGGTACAAGTCATGCAACATCATCACCATCAATACACAGTACAAGTCATGCAACATCACCACCATCAATACACAGTACAAGTCATGCCACATCATCACCATCAATACACAGTACAAGTCATGCAACATCACCACCATCAATACACAGTACAAGTCATGCCACATCATCACCATCAATACACAGTACAAGTCATGCAACATCACCACCATCAATACACAGTACAAGTCATGCCACATCATCACCATCAATACACAGTACAAGTCATGCAACATCACCACCATCAATACACAGTACAAGTCATGCCACATCATCACCATCAATACACAGTACAAGTCATGCAACATCACCACCATCAATACACAGTACAAGTCATGCCACATCACCACCATCAGTACACGGTACAAGTCATGCCACATCACCACCATCAATACACAGTACAAGTCATGCCACATCACCACCAACAGTACACGGTACAAGTCATGCCACATCACCACCAACAGTACATGGTACAAGTCATGCAATCACCACCAACAGTACACGGTACAAGTCATGCCACATCCCCACCAACAGTACATGGTACAAGTCATGCCACATCACCACCATCAATACACGGTACAAGTCATGCAATCACCACCAACAGTACATGGTACAAGTCATGCCACATCACCACCATCAATACACGGTACAAGTCATGCAATCACCACCATCAATACACGGTACAAGTCATGCCACATCACCACCAACAGTACACGGTACAAGTCATGCCACATCACCACCAACAGTACATGGTACAAGTCATGCAATCACCACCAACAGTACACGGTACAAGTCATGCCACATCACCACCAACAGTACATGGTACAAGTCATGCAATCACCACCAACAGTACACGGTACAAGTCATGCCACATCACCACCAACAATACACGGTACAAGTCATGCCACATCACCACCAACAGTACACGGTACAAGTCATGCCACATCACCACCAACACTACACGGTACAAGTCATGCAATCACCACCAACAGTACACGGTACAAGTCATGCCACATCACCACCAACAGTACATGGTACAAGTCATGCAATCACCACCAACAGTACACGGTACAAGTCATGCCACATCACCACCAACAGTACATGGTACAAGTCATGCAATCACCACCAACAGTACACGGTACAAGTCATGCCACATCACCACCAACAATACACGGTACAAGTCATGCCACATCACCACCAACAGTACACGGTACAAGTCATGCCACATCACCACCAACAGTACACGGTACAAGTCATGCAATCACCACCAACAGTACACGGTACAAGTCATGCCACATCACCACCAACAGTACATGGTACAAGTCATGCAATCACCACCAACAGTACACGGTACAAGTCATGCCACATCACCACCAACAATACACGGTACAAGTCATGCCACATCACCACCAACAGTACACGGTACAAGTCATGCCACATCGCCACCAACAGTACATGGTACAAGTCATGCAACATCACCACCAACAATACACAGTACAAGTCATGCCACATCACCACCATCAATACACAGTACAAGCCTTGCCACATCACCACCAACAGTACACGGTACAAGTCATGCAACATCACCACCAACAATACACGGTACAAGTCATGCCACATCATCACCAACAATACACAGTACAAGTCATGCCACATCACCACCAACAATACACAGTACAAGTCATTCCACATCACCACCATCAATACACAGTACAAGCCTTGCCACATCACCACCAACAATACACGGTACAAGTCATGCCACATCACCACCATCAATACACAGTACAAGTCATGCCACATCACCACGAACAATACACAGTACAAGTCATGCAACATCACCACCAACAATACACAGTACAAGTCATTCCACATCACCACCATCAATACACAGTACAAGCCTTGCCACATCACCACCAACAGTACACGGTACAAGTCATGCAACATCACCACCATCAATACACGGTACAAGTCATGCCACATCACCACCAACAGTACATGGTACAAGTCATGCCACATCACCACCAACAGTACACGGTACAAGTCATGCCACATCACCACCAACAGTACATGGTACAAGTCATGCCACATCACCACCAACAGTACACGGTACAAGTCATGCCACATCACCACCAACAGTACATGGTACAAGTCATGCCACATCACCACCAACAGTACATGGTACAAGTCATGCCACATCACCACCAACAGTACACGGTACAAGTCATGCCACATCACCACCAACAGTACATGGTACAAGTCATGCCACATCACCACCAACAGTACATGGTACAAGTCATGCCACATCACCACCAACAGTACACGGTACAAGTCATGCCACATCACCACCATCAATACACGGTACAAGTCATGCAATCACCACCAACAGTACATGGTACAAGTCATGCCACATCATCACCATCAATACACAGTACAAGTCATGCCACATCATCACCATCAATACACAGTACAAGTCATGCCACATCACCACCAACAATACACGGTACAAGTCATGCCACATCACCACCATCAATACACAGTACAAGTCATGCCACATCACCACCAACAATACACGGTACAAGTCATGCCACATCACCACCATCAATTCACAGTACAAGTCATGCCACATCACCACCATCAATACACAGTGCAAGTCATGCCACATCACCACCAACAATACACGGCACAAGTCATGCCACATCACCACCAACAATACACAGTGCAAGTCATGCCACATCACCACCATCAATACACAGTGCAAGTCATGCCACATCACCACCAACAATACACGGCACAAGTCATGCCACATCACCACCATCAGTACACGGTACAAGTCATGCCACATCACCACCAACAATACACAGTGCAAGTCATGCAACATCACCACCAACAATACACGGTACAAGTCATGCCACATCACCACCAACAGTACATGGTACAAGTCATGCCACATCACCACCAACAATACACGGCACAAGTCATGCCACATCACCACCATCAGTACACGGTACAAGTCATGCCACATCACCACCAACAATACACAGTGCAAGTCATGCCACATCACCACCAACAATACACGGTACAAGTCATGCCACATCACCACCAACAGTACACGAGTGACGTGTCTTTATTTCGGCCTTGAACACTGCACGACGGCATGTCTGTTCGATGTGGGGTAACTTCGGAAATGATGCACGTTTCCACGTTCTTTCCAAACTTACAAGGTCAGCTTTTCGTCCAGTGTGTTTAAGTCAATAAAGAGTAAGTGGCTCAACAACACTTGGAGGAATCTCTCAGTTATATTGTTGGAGGAATATTGCAGGACGGAGACATTTACATTACCTCTTTGTTGAAATTGATGACGAGAACGTGTTTGACCATGATCAAAATTATGCGGAATCTACGATCAACGAATACTGGCGCGACTAAGGGACGTAACTAAGCACAACGAATTGATACGCTTTTGATGTTTTAATGAAATACATCAAAGCAAAGTCTAGGTGTTAGGTTTGAGGAATACATAACTCAATATCAAGGAGTTTACCGATTGAGGAAAGAGGCAATTTGGTTTATTTTTTCAATGTATATATTTTGAACGAATACTGTTTTCTAGGTACCAAACAGTCGGATAAAGGAATGTAGGAACTACAATGACGTCAGCGGGAAAGAATTTATTGATGTCAAGAAGGACAAAACGGTTAAAGTTGGGACAATCGACAAGGAACAGAAGTGAGGCTGAAGACACCATGCATCACTCAGCTACAAGCATCTATATAGCCCATACCACCTCACATTACACTATTTTCCTTTGAATATTCTTTGTAGTTCAAATTACATAAGACAATAACATAAGAAAGTTGTATTTAACTATTTGATCGATTCTATCGAACCAATTGCTTCCAATCTTCTCGCAATTTATTCAATATTCTGAAGTCACAATCGATGTAATTATTTAATGTCAATACGATTTTATGTATATTGGATATAACTGACTGATTTAGAGAGCACCTTAGTGTGTGGTTTGATGTTGTCGCAACATATATATTTAAATGAATATATCAGCTTATAAGATCTGTCATTCATAAGTTCTTTTGTAATTTGGACATATTTCGAAGACTTGATTCTCATTAGTGATCTTGATTGAAATGTACATTTATATCATGAAAATAAGCGTTTTAAGCATACCCCACCGTGTGGATTAAGCGCTATATAAAATAAATATAAATGCAGAAAAGAGGGTATTATTATTATTCTTCTTCTTATTATTATTCTTATTATTATTTACAGATTAAAATGAAAAATGCAGCAAAGAGGGTCATCTGATTAAAGTGACATAAATTGTAAATTCACGCCTCACTTTGATCTTCATTAAGACGCGCATGGGGGACACAATGAAAAAGAACAAACCCGTTTTTTAATCATCCGAGAGCTATTCCATGCATTCAGAATGACGTCGCAATTATGTTTAGAAATCAAGCGCTTCAAGAAGTGCGTGATGGCATGTTTTGTATTCACTGACTAACTGCTCGTGCAGTCATTGGGTCTAGCTCTCTCATACTTTTCCACAAGGCAGATCACCGTCAGGTAGCTGTGTGGTCACTTGGTTTAGCTCTCTCTCTCATACTTTACCACAAGGCAGATCACCGTCAGGTAGCTGTGCGGTCACTGGGTCTAGCTCTCTCTCATACTTTACCACAACGCAGATCACCGTCAGGTAGCTGTGTGGTCACTTGGTTTAGCTCTCTCTCTCATACTTTACCACCATGCAGATCACCGTCAGGTAGCTGTGCCGTCACTGGGTTTAGCTCTCTCTCTAATACTTTACCACAAGACAGATCACCGTCAGGTAGCTGTGCGGTCACTGGGTTTAGCTCTCTCTCATACTTTACCACCACGCAGATCACCGTCAGGTAGCTGTGCGGTCACTGGGTTTAGCTATCTCTCTAATACTTTACCACCACGCAGATCACCGTCAGGTAGCTGTGCGGTCGCTGGGTTTAGCTCTCTCTCATACTTTACCACCACGCAGATCACCGTCAGGTAGCTGTGCGGTCACTGGGTTTAGCTCTCTCTCTCATACTTTACCACCACGCAGATCACCGTCAGGTAGCTGTGCGGTCATTGGGTTTAGCTCTCTCTCATACTTTACCACCACGCAGATCACCGTCAGGTAGCTGTGCGGTCACTGGGTTTAGCTCTCTCTCTCATACTTTACCACAACGCAGATCACCGTCAGGTAGCTGTGCAGTCATTGGGTTTAGCTCTCTCTCTCTCATACTTTACCACCACGCAGATCACCGTCAGGTAGCTGTGCAGTCATTGGGTTTAGCTCTCTCTCTCATACTTTACCACCACGCAGATCACCGTCAGGTAGCTGTGCAGTCATTGGGTTTAGCTCTCTCTCATACTTTACCACAAGACAGATCACCGTCAGGTAGCTGTGCCGTCACTGGGTTTAGCTCTCTCTCATACTTTACCACAAGACAGATCACCGTCAGGTAGCTGTGCGGTCACTGGGTTTAGCTCTCTCTCACAATTAACCACCACGCAGATTAAGGACAGAAAATAATCAGCATCATTTATCTGCCTGAATATAATCCAGTGGGTGGTAGAGGCAAACTACTAGAGAAATAATTAAAATGGATCACTAAAAATCAGTGATGACACCATGTATTCGCGAAAGGGTTAAACATGCATTTTCACAATCATGTTTCAGCATAAAATGTATATGTTATGTTCGCGAACAAATGTGATGAAACCAGTGAAACTCCGTCAATTCAATACAAGTATATCAGTCAACATGATCAAACTCCATCAATTCAATACAAGTATATCAGTCAACATGATCAAACTTCATCCTTATCGTATGGTCTGACATCGTCACTTCCTTGTCTCCAAATATCACCAGCTCGATATAGTTTTGATGTTCCCAAGACGTCGTTCACGTTTCTTTACGTGGTTATGTGCATATTATTTTCAGGTTTCAAGGGGCCAAAACATCGTCTTAAATAACCAAATACGAAAAAATTGTGTGCAAACAAACTTCTGAGCGTCAACGTAAGAGGTACAGGATTTTGACGGGCAAAGATTATGTGACCTACATATGTGTTAGTTATTTCATAAAGAGTTCGCCTTTCATATGTGTTCTTTCTCTACAACGCCTCCTTCTACAAAATGTCAAGAGTCGTGAGTTGGTTTTCTGTTAGCATGTCTGCTCAGTATCAGGATTGTCAGGCCTTCTCAAGGACATCCATTCGTTGTGTTTTTACGGTAAATAGAACACCAGTCAGTCACGACACAAAACGAGCAGCAGCATTATAGAAGACAGCAGTGTCATGTGTCTAATATGTTGCAACCACGGAGCAGGTTTATGTAACTCTTAAACACGATAGTTATCACCATCAAATGATCAACTAAACTGATTGAAGCATATGGCCTACAACGGTATTACCATTTACCCACAGTTAAACTAAGCGGCAAAAGAAAGTATAGGTTGGCAATGTGTAATTTTCCTAAAAACAGCGATAACTAGTGGGTATTGGGAATATGACTGCCCAGGAACAGGTACCATAAAACACCTCACCCGAATGCGCCATCTTTGACGGCGCTCGTGCGGTGACAAAACAATGGTGAAACAGGTTTCCCGCCTCTGGCATAAACTGCACGTGCATGTTAGCTGTATAAATGCGTTCGTCTGCAGGGTATAACCACACGTGATGAAAGCCCACACAAGAAATGTCACGACTGTCACAGGAGCAGAGAGAGAGAGAGAGCCATCGGTATGGCCGAAATGGGGGCAACACAGGTCCAAATTGCCAGAAGGTTTTGTTGTACACCATTGACAGTAGCCAGGCTGATTCAACGGTACAGGCAGACAGGGGGGACACAGGACAGGCCTAGAACCGGACGACCTCGAGTGACAACACCACTGGAAGACGGTCAGGTACGGCTCATTCACCTGCGAAACAAATTCGTAACGGCGACGGCAGCAACAGCGATGGGACATCCCATTAGCCAACGTACAGTACTACGACGACTTCGTGCTACTGGAATCCGAGCGTAACGTCATTTCCGAGGAATGGTACTGACTGCTCAACATCGACGTCTGAGACTGCGATGGGCGAGGCAGCTTCGACGCTGGCAAGTGGGAAATTGTCGTCGAGTGCTGTTTACGGATGAAAGTCGGTTTAATTTGATTCGAAATGACGGCAGAGAACGAGTTTATCGACGCAGAGGGGAACGTTTGGCTCCGGCGTGTATTCGAGAAGTCCATCCATTCCGCAGGGGAGGTGTTATGGTGTGGGGCGGTATTTGTGGAGATCAGAAGACTGATTCGGTGATTATACAGGGAAACCTGAACGCTGTGCAGTACAGAGACCAAGTGTTGCAGTCAGTTGTGCTTCCGTTCTTACAAAACCAACAGCAGGGGACATTGTTTCAACACGACAATGCTAGGCTCCATACTGCAAGACTGACTCGGAACTTTCAAACCAGCAGAACGTTGACGTTTTGCCCTGGCCTGCCCACTCACCCGACTTGAAACCTATTGAACATCTGTTGGACCATCTTGACAGACAGATTAGAGCACGCCATCATTTTTGTGACATTTCAGACAACTTTTGAAAATGAAATTTCTTACCCCACCATTGTTTACCTTGAGCTTACATTACCTGTGATTGCACTATTTCATTCAAACTGTGGTTGATCAATCAGTTGTTACCCCTCGCTTGATTATATTATAATTCACAACAAAACCTCTTCTTGTTATTTTTTTATCGATCATGGAACTCGACCTATACTTTCTTTTGCCGCCCAGTTTTTATTATGATTATTGAAACAACCTTGGGAATTCGAGTCATTTATTGATAAGGAAAGCTGTGAGTTTATGTTAGAGTCTCGCGAAAACCCCATTTGTTTGCCTGTGCCGTGTTTTATAATAACAAATTCATTGACCAAGCCTATTCCTGGTACCAGGAGACAGAGTGACACGCCCTAAACTATAGGTGGTGTAACGATTCCATCAGCAATGTCAGTATCATGGGTTGCCACATATTGCGTTGATATAGGCGAGGAAGCCTCTGGCGAAACAGCCAGCTGTGGCAGAACATGCTGTTATGCTGTATTGAAAAGCCTGTTACAACACATGCGACACGTGCAACACGTGGGCGGGCATGATCCTGCTGCGTTGTGACGTCACGTCCCTGCAGGGAATAACATAATCTCTGCCATCTGGGTAGCGTGTGCCATTGAAATTGCCGTTAACAATGATATGTTAGCCCTGGCCAAGGTGACCTTTGATTGGTACCCGTCAGCACAAGAACTGAAATGTTAACGCGTATAAGCTATTTCGAGAATGTAGCTGTGTGTATAACTATAACTGTGTAATCCCAAACTCAAAGACACTTTCATGAAGCAAAGGCAGCGTGGAACGACAGGATAAGGAGTAGCGTGGGAAAACTGAGAACACATAAGAACTTTAAAACTGATGACTCCACAGACCTTTGTAAAGTCGAGTATGCCGGGACGTGCTGTGCTGTGGTGAATTTAGATGCGGGATGACACCAACCAGTCCTGAACCTGGACGGTATCAAACCCTCGCAGTTGAAGATACACTGTGTCCAATGTGCCCAAATAATTTTGTTGGAGATGAAGTGCATGCTGCTCTTAAGGGTTGCATGATGATCTGACTCTTTTAAATGAAGCTGGTAATCTGTGCAAAACCTTCAATAAAAAAGTGCTTTTGAATCAAAATGAACTGAACCAACTGTGTGCCAAAAAAACGACGAAAATGGCTTTTATACAAATGAATGCATTTTTTTAACATTTTAAAATTCATTAATAATTGATTATTCTTTTACCTGCACATACATAGTCTCCCGTAATTCTATTTGAAATGCTTGAGCACATTTTAAACACTGTATGTATCAGCTGTAAGTATGCTTCAAATTAATTATGTCTGTCTGTCTCTCCTCTGTGTAATCGATCGGCAGGATGTATTTATGAACCGATGTGTAATCTATCGATGTATTCATACGCATTATTTTGTGGAAAAAAGGCTTGATACATTTAAAAGGTGTTTCAGTAGCAAAAAGCAACCCTTTTGTTGACCAATCAAAATCAAGAGTTCTTCGATATCATGGTACAATATTACAATGTACATAGCCCCTAAATATGAATTATTTGCAGTGAAAACATATCTGAAATGTACTCAGTAGTTAGCAAAGTGGTAATGCGAA